GTAATACGACGCAAGGTGCAATATTGTTTATTTTTTTATTTTGAAAGCGGTGCTTATTAATTTTTAAAAATTGTAATATATTCATAATTATTTATGTTTTTCATAATGTGTCTTGAATAATTTCCTTGATGTGGTAGTCGAGAGACAACGTCTCTACTGCCTGAGCCATTTACGGCCTACTGTTTTTAAGGACTAATGTGTCAGATAGCGTGTGTGTCAGGGTTGCGTCACGCACACGCGCTCTCTCACGCACACGCGCTCTCTCACGCACACGCGCTCTCTCACGCACACGCTCTGTCACAATTAGATAAATAATGTATTCAGTTGAATTCTTATAATAAGATCATTTAATCTTTTATTGACAATATTATTAGTACCATAAATCGATAAAAGTAAAAGGAGATTATTGATCTCCAAACTTTCATACGTATGTAATTTAATCTTTTGGTGGTTTTATTTCCTGCAGTTCAAAGATATTCAAAATATAAAAATATAAAAAATTAATCAAATCAATTAATGTAAATTAGTGTATTTCATTCTAAATTGGCTTCATCCTAAATACACTATACCAATAGTATTCAAGTAAAAATCTAGTAAGCCTAACGACATATAATATTAATTTATACTCGCTTTATAAATTTAATTAACAAATTTATCTTCGTTCTTTTTTCTTTTTTTTTTTTAAATATTTTTTACGTCATCTTAAGATTGGCTTAAGGATTTTATTTACAAAGAGATAACTTTTTATTCATTCTTGCGCGAAGTTGCTCTCAATTAGACAATATTTAAAAGAAATAAAATATTGAATGTGCGTTTAACCTCTTTTAACCCATGAAACACGACCAAGTCAAAGTCTACTCATACAGTAATTTAACTTAAAGCTGATTGATCTTGTCGATTACTCCACAATGATATGGACAAATGTATTGAATACAAAGTGCAATGATCAACATGTGATTGCATCTTCAGCAAAAATTGTAAAATCATTAAATTATTTACTGATAAATATATTCTATATTATAATTTTTATAATTGGTTGTTTGTAATCTTTATATTGTATCTTAATATTAATATTTATAAGACATATATCTTTTATATTATTTTAGTAAATATATTTTATTTTTTTACTTATGAAGTGAATAAAACGACACGTTAACATCTGGCCCATTAGCTCAGTTGGTTAGAGCGTCGTGCTAATAACGCGAAGGTCGCGGGTTCGATCCCCCCATGGGCCACATAATTTTTTTTTCATTTTTTTCCCTTGTACAAAATATGTATAATCGTTTATAATATTAACAGTATTATTCTTAATAGTTAATCGAAGTTAAACTAATGCTAAATTTTGCTTTATAATTGGTATCGTACATGTAAGTTGTATCTAAAATAATGAAAAAGACTTTATTCATATACATATATAAGTAATTTATATTTATACAATTAGCTTAAAAACAAATATTCACTAAAAATAACATCTGATTTTGTTTTGAAGTAAAAATACAGTTCTTGTCATAAATCGAGCCAAAATTTATCAAGAAAAAAAAAACAATAGTTTAAATATTTTAACTGCATTGTCATGACGTTAAAAAGTTAAAATCAATATAGCTGTGCAATTTCTAGAAGTCATGTAACGATTAACTTACGTCGAATACCACTAAAAGTCACGGTCATTTCCTACGAATCGGTATTTCATTTTGCATACATATCAGCGCATGCGACAACACCTTGGAAAAGAATCATGCGATGATATTGATTACGAGTCAACACGTCTACAGATTACAATAATTATAATAATACAAACATTTCTTTTTTTCTTTTTTTATTCGATGTTATTTAAATTGTTCTAAAAATGCAAGGAAATAAATTGTAATCGTACAGACACGTCATTTCTTGGATTTTCAGGGCTGTGCATTGCTCTTCACCTACCATCGTTGATTTTAAAGCGTATTGCACCCTCAACGTTTCTATAGGCGTATTATACATGGTGTGCTAAGAAAAAATATCACTCAGAATTCATATAATAAATGTTATTTGTTAAATTCACTCTAATTAATGATAAAAAATTTCTTAATAATAAACATGCTATCTCAAGAATTAAAATTAATTTTTTATTTGTATTATAACATGTGTAAAACATCAAAATAAACCACTTTTTATTAATCCTTGTATGTATAGAATAATAAAAAAACAAGGAAGTTTCAATAAGAAAATTGCGTAAGTGAATTTTTCAACCAGTAGTCAACCATGCACTTTGTATTCTATAATGATTAATTACTGTATGATTTAAAATTGTTGTTAACACCCTATATACATTGCGACTAAAGGTACATCAAGCTACAACCTTCCTAGGAAGTATCGATCGCTTTAGCAAGTTGAGCTTTCTTTGGCCCGCGTTGACGTCATTCGAAGAATATGATTGGTTAAAGCTCAAGCTGAAGTTTTCCTATTGGTCGACGGACCGGTATAAGCGATGCTTTCACGGTAACCGGCTTCAGTTGTGTTGTTACTCACTCACTGTACACTTGGTAAGTACCTTTCAACAGAAGACTATAAATTAGTAATTTTATAATAAAACAATCTAGAAAAAAAACACAAAAACAAAACATTTCATAAATTTGCATTCGTATTTTGACGACACTAAAAATTCCACTTCGTTGTGATAAAAAAAATGATAGGATCACCATGAAATATTTTCTGTTACTTTTAAAATAAGTTTTTATAAAAAGTGGACTTAGAAAAATATTTCTTTCTCCTTGGAATTTTCGATAATAAAATAAAAGGAAAGTAAAGTATAAAAAATACTAGATATAGGAGAGCGACACAAAAAAGACCTTGGAGTCATAAGCATTCTCACTTATTGCCATATTTAAATAATGTAACGTAACAAAGTGATCGATGCCTTAACGTTCCATTGCATTTTTACCTGTAATTACGCGAACCTTTTGTGTAAAGCAAATGCACATATATACGTGCGCGCCCATTTACGTGTGGTATGTAAGAATTTATTCTCATGTTAACAAAGTGTATCCGATCGTTAAATGACTTGATATACAAATAACAGAAAATCAGAATTAAATGATAATACTAGAACAATGAAATTATTTTTATTATTGTCTGATAAATATTTAAAAATTGTATCCTTATGAAATTCCAATGAAGCTGCAGTGCATATGCGCGAACGCACCGAAAGACAGCATCGATTTGTTAGGAATAGACAATGAGAGAGAGAGAGAGAGAGAGAGAGAGAGAGAGAGAGAGGGAGAGAGAGAGAGAGAGAGATACAAAGAGAAAGAGAAAGATTGCATAATATGAAAGAAATTCTATTGAAAAGATTATATCATATGAATACACGAAATAAGCGAATAATTTAACGTTGAACTTAAAATTAAATGAACGTTGACTTAAATTATTTAAAAATAAACGAAGTATAATAACTTTTACCATACACCGTTTAAGTTTGTGAAATATATAATATTTTGAATTTTTGTTAATTTAACATCAATCTAATTTGAATTTTGTAATTGTATTGTGATTTGTTTGATTACCTCATTCCTGTTAATATTTCCGGCAACAGCAAATATCTAATCAATATAATCGTAACATGTCATACTGGTTTTATTCTTATGCGCAAGGATAGATAAGAGACTGCGCGTAACGAAGGCTTTCTATTTCTGTTAGAAAGGACTAATGTTGAATATTCAAATATTATATCTCAAGGATTTCTATTGATTCTCGTTAGGTTAGAAGTTTACTAACTTCTGAGATTTCATTGTGTTTAGTTGTATGTAAATATGTACTTATTGATTCGATATTTAATCGTTACTATATATTATCCTCATTTAATAAATTTACATTTTATTTAATGTTATTTTAATTTGCAATTAATTAAAGATTTAATGAGATAATTTTTTCAACCTTTGATCGATCATCAGACTGATAATCTATCAAATCGCGAACTTTGACTCGATTAATAAATAATATTTGCACACTTGTACGCCAATAAGAGATAATTAAATGTTTCACCTATTCGATAAATCAACGATTCGTTATCTATTTCAATTATTTTTAAATCGATCGACGTGTCTCTAGATAAAAACAATATTTTCTTATTATACGAAGAATTAATAAAAAATAAAACATTTATATCGATGATATAAAAGGATGACAAAAGTTCCTAGAAATTTATATCCGAAAATGTTTTATTAAAAAGTATATGCTTATAAAAAAATCTTTGTATTTACATATTTTTCGTGTATGCAATATTACGAAAGAGTTTTGTTCTGTTTATACAGGAGAATAGTATGTATAAAGTACTTAACAACAAGGAAATCAAACACGAGTGTTCGCGGTCGGGAGGACTGCACGCATATCCTGATCATTTTAGGGAACCTAAAGAGTCATATCTCTAAAAATCCATTCCCATTCCCCATTCATGAACATTTGAAGTTTCTTGTCCTCTGGTAGGACCAACTTGTATATAGTGTACATAAGATCGCTTGTCTAATTAAATCTCAATCCTGACGAGTCGAATTGCTACGAAGGAAAATAATTGAAAAGACGTCACGCGGGTTAAAAACAAAAAAAATCAACATTTAAAAAAGAAAAGTGTGAACAATAGCACAAGAGTCTTTATCACGCTGTAACAAAACACGAAACAAGTAAAAAGATTAATTCAATTGATATCCCATTTATTCCTATCCATTATCCACATTTTCCTACTTACCTTTTGGTAGAATTTGAAAGATAAAAAAAAAAAAGGATAATACCATGAAGCAAGGACCATCAGAAGATTTGCATATCGGCTTGAAGCTACTTACTGCTGGCACTGCGGCTTGCATTGCTGATTTAGCTACGTTTCCTTTGGATACCGCCAAAGTCAGGATGCAGGTACGATATTTACGATTCTTTCCCTTTTTATTCTTTGCACTTTTCGTATGACTTTTATGATTATTTTATTGTATACATATATATTGGTGATATAAGCATTATTCAAATTTCTATTGAAATGAATTTTTGAAATGAATTTTTGAAATGAATGATTATTGTTCATTTTTTTTAAGATCGCCGGTGAAGGACGAACAATATTGCTTGCATCGACGGAAGGTTCGATGCTCGCAATGAGAGCAAATCAGCCGGGATTGTTGGAAACAATGGGGAACATCGTCAGGGTAGAAGGAGCAAGGTACGTTGTCTAAGATCCATTTTACAAATTAACAATTCACAATGGGGTAGGTAAAAAATAATTCCATTTAAATAAATATATATATATATATATANATATATAGATATACAAATATATACTATATACTTCTATATCATAGTATATATATACAATATACAAACTAGCCGACCATTTTGTTTCGTAGTTCTATCGACTCTTTTTAAGATTTCTCTTTATTCGTTTAAACGATTTAATCGTTATTTAAAATCGCTGCATTTACGGCCTCTTCTCGCTAATTGAAAAAAAAGAAAAGAAAAGAAAAGAAAAGGAAAAGTGGATTAAAAAGGAAAAAAGATAATATACGATTCTCTCGCTTAAACCAAAAAAATGCACGAATTTTCCTCGAGTCGATGGCTCATTCCACATTGAATGCTTTTAAATTCCTTTTTTTTTTTTTTAATGCGATCGATCCCGTCGTCACTGCTGAATTCTACAAACGGCCTAATTATACCAATTGTGTCGTTAACTTAGTTACGTAAATTATTTACTCAGAAAATACCCATTTTTTCCATTCTCAATCAACATAAATATAAAATGTTATATGTTATTATATTTATATTAATCTAGTTTAGCTATATAGTTAGGCCGAGTGTGCATTAAGAGAAACTAATCGGTAGGAACGACGGAGATCGATTCGAAGCATACTCGAGGCAGATTACAAAAATTAAACAATTGTGGACTTCGAACGGTGAATTGCAAAGTACTCGAAGTGATAACGCTCGTTGACTCGTTCGATAGCTTTTTTTCTTCGATTCAAGTTATCCATTCTTTTGTTTTTACAGTATTTATTTTCATTTTAAACTCATATGATTTGTAGAAGCTCTTTGTTTTTGTGAGTGCCAACAACGAGTATTCCTTATAAGTGTCTACGTCAATCCATTAATTGTCTGATATGAGAATAAGATAACATTAAGTAAAAATAAAATTAAAATAAAAAGTAAATATAAAATACACTATTAGGAACTGTTAGTGGCACTCTTTTTGATTGTGTTCGTTCGATCATTCTTTTCTGCGAAAGTTGCTTCTTGATTCATTTCAAATTCGATTTTTTATTCTTTATAGTACAACGCGATTGAAATAAAAGAAAATATATACGCTATATGCAATATATAAATTTTCATAATCATTGAAATGAACTATTAATCAAGGTAGTAATAAATTGTTCAAACACTTATTTTTACATTGAGAAGCAATGAGATTTGATTTAATTATTATTTAAATAAAAAGCAGCTATCGCGATCGAATAAACGAGTGAAATATTAGACATTTCGGATATTTTCTTTGTAACATCGTTGATTTAAATTCACGCGTTACTTGTTTCCTATGAGTTATATTTATTTTGCAGTTTAAGTTTAACTGCAGTTTAGTTTCGCGATTGCCAGCCCGGCATCTTCTTCCTTGGTTAAGCTTCCAACGCGTTTTACTATTATGGGAGACGAATTTAGTCCCAACTCTCGGCGCAAGCTCTCTCTCGATGATACCACGTGGCTCTTGGGCCGTTTCTCTTTTCTCTCGCGTACGTCCACCTAGTTCTCCTAATTAAATTCATAAAAAAAAAAAAAAAAAAAAAACAAACACAAACAAACAAATTTTTCATTCTAATCCTTATCTAAAAAAAAAGTGGATATTTAACACTACATTTACATTGAGAATACTTTTAACATTATTTCTAAAAAGATTAATTGCTCTCAAAATCATGAAGCATTATAAAAAAAAAAAAAAAAAATGGAAAATAACACTCTATTTTTTTATTTTTCAAATGAAATAAAGAAAGAAGCAAAAGAAAATAACGAAAATGAGAGGTTTGTTGAGAGAACAAAAGGGACTTAGGTAGACAAAATGAGAGAGAGAAAGAGAGAGAGAGAGAGAGAGAGAGAGAAAAGAGAGACGAAGGAATATTTAAAAAGAAGAAAAAAAAAGATATTTTTGACACCCCGGGGGAAACGTTTGAGGGTAAATTTAGAGGGTGGTGAGCTTGAGCGAGGGTGGTTACAGGAGCCTGTACGGAGGTCTGTCCGCGGGACTCCAGAGACAGATGTGTTTCGCCAGCGTACGGTTGGGCCTCTACGACAGCGTGAAGTCACTCTACGCTGGAATCATCGACGGTACATCCAACAAACTCTCCTAACTTTTGATATATAAATATTAAAACGGGTGCGCAAACGCGCACACCTAAGTACGTACGGGTACTACATAATATCTCCATCTCCATTTTACTTACAAACACTAACATACAAACGCACACGCATACACTCATACATCAAATAATCATTATTATAATATATATATACCAAGTTTTTTATAGAGAAAAATGAATATGCGCAGTATGTCATCAAATTAATTTGAGTGAATTTCATTTTGGAGTTAGTTGGTATTATCATACGAATCGATTAAACTATATAATATAGTTTTGTTTATTTTTTATTTATTTATTTATTTATTATTCTTTTTTAATTTGTTCTAACTGCATTTATATTTTATGAAAATCATATAATTGAAGTATATTAATTTTTGTTTAATGAAATATGTGTTTTATCTTTTAACTGCGACAACAAAAAAAAGATATATTTGTAACAAAATTTATATTTTTATTCTATAGAAATGTTATATTTTTCTCTAAAGTAAAGCACTCAAAAATATTTTGTACGCATCGATAATAATTCTAATATATTTGATTTACTACAGCTAACTCTACAAATTTCTTATCACAACATATGTGCATCGAAAGAGAGAGAGAGAGAGAGAGAGAGAGAGAGAGAGAGAGAGAGAGAGAGAGAGAGAGTGAAAGAAAATGATAATAATAATATACATATATAATGCAATTATTTATATTTCGCGAGCATTGGATTTCTCGAAAAGAGGAATTTCGTCGCCTTCGTCGTTTTCTTCGTCACGTCGTCGTCCTTCTCTTCGTCAAAAAGGAGGATGATATTATTTAAATAAAAAATAAGCGGAGAGACAACGAGGAGAGAGGGGGAGTTATCGATTAATAGACAAAAGATTAATCTTTTTTTTTTTATCTAACTATACGTTTTTTTTTTAATAAATCCAACTCAATTCTAATCACAGATGATACTCAAGTATTGAATTAATTTAATCCTAATTTACGTTTTTTTGTTTTTTTTTTTTAAATGAAATTTCGTTCAAAAAATCGCGGCTTATCTAATTTCTGTTTTATTTTTCTCGTAAAAATAGTTAATTATTACAATTGTTGTTGCTCGATTAATAAATTGATTTGTTCGAATATTAAAAAAAAAGAAATAGAAAAAAATGAAGTTAAACGATAATCGCATGATCTTATCGGTCGAAGATTCTCTTTTCTTGTCACGTCATTTCAAACATTTGACACGTGTTCACGTAATTATTAATTGACTCGAAGCACAAATATAAGAAAGACAAACAAGTTCATGTCAGTAATCTAATCAATTTTAACATTATTAACCGAATCCTTTGATGTTACTAATAACCAACTGACTTCATAGAAAATTGAAAAAGAAAATAACTAGAAATAGTTGTAAAACGCGATTGATGGCGTACTCTAAATCCCAATACCTGCATCCTTTAACATGTGTTTTGACTTTTTGTTCTTCTTCTTCTTCTTCTTCTCTTCTTAAATTTCGTTCACCCAAATACAAACGTTGTTCCCCGTGGAAAACAAGATTTTTCATTAGAGGAAATTTCTTTACCGACAGGAAATAACCGGAGCGGTTCGATGAACATTGGTATTCGTATAATGGCCGGTATTACAACCGGTGCTTTAGCGGTCCTTTTTGCTCAACCGACTGACGTCGTTAAGGTTCGTCTGCAAGCTGGAAACAGCGGAGGTTCGGCAGTGAGATACAGCTCAACTCTTCAGGCTTATAAAAATATAGCCAGTGTCGAAGGAACTCGCGGTCTTTGGAAAGGTATCTTTCAGTTTCACTGGCACAGTTGTTCCAAAAATGAAACTTTAAAGAATGATTTTTGTTATGTATTCAAAGGTACCATGCCGAACATCTCCCGGAACGTGATCGTAAACGTTGCTGAGATCGTTTGTTACGACATCATCAAGGACATGATTATAACTTCTGGTTATCTCCGAGACGGTATACCTTGTCATCTAACGGCTGCAACAGCTGCTGGACTTTGCACCACTCTGGCTGCTAGTCCAGTCGACGTCGTTAAAACTCGCTACATGAACAGCCCACCTGGCGAGTACAAGGGTGCTGTTGAATGTGCAGTCAAGATGTTCGTTCAAGAAGGGCCCGCAGCTTTTTACAAAGGCTTCGTACCCAGCTTTACGCGACTGGTATCCTGGAACATCATGCTTTGGGTCACCTACGAACAAATCAAGAAACATGTGAAGAAAATTTACGGCCACGAATAAATAATCGTCTTATCTTGAATTAAGACAAGACGATTTTATTTAATAATGCTTAAACATAACACAACACACATACGAATTATGAGAATTCGTCGATTTTCTTTGACATGGAGATTGATAATGTAGTCTTATGAATTCCCGTTGTTTCGCAACATTATTTGTGGTACATTCCTATAGCATCAGTGTCATTGTTCTTTAGAATCGCGCGTTGCTTCTTCTTCACTATCGACTCTCCATGATCAATGACTGTCGTACTTTTTCTCTTTGCTAAACTCATCATCCTAATCTCCTAATATTTATTCTTATCTTCGTTTATTTATTTTAATATAGATACGATCGTACGTACACTAAATATTTCATATACGCAAAATGTTAATCCAAACAGGACCAACTTCTTATCGAAGATGGAGCCAATTCATTGCTATTTCATAAGCAAGATATTATTTCAAATAATCACTAAACTAAAATTAGGAATCGTTTCTTTTTCGTTTATTATAATTACGTGCTTAATTTGCTAAAATTGAAAATGATTTTAACGTACGATCGTGGATACAAAATGAATGAAATTCTAGGCAAATATATAAACGCATAGGTTTTGGCTATTTGATCGGCTTTGAAAAATGATTAGAAAATTCGCATGTACCAAATGAAAGATAGATTAACGATAAACGTTACGCATTGTTACGCGCCATAAAGACAATAATATTCCGTCATTATTTCGATATATTTGCCAATTTGACTGTGACCGTGATATAAGAATTTTCTGATTCGTAAATGTTCAGTCGCGTCGATCGATGAATCCTCTATAAAGTATTATCGCGAACGATCTATCTCGTCTCTTATTGAATTAAGAATATGTAACGTGCAACAATCTCGTTTCCGTCAATTAATCTTCATACATGGGCACAATTTTTCTTAGATCCTCGATCGTGGATTTTCTATAGTTCGAGTCTTAAAAAATAAGTTACCGACAATTCGTCATGTAGTTTCCTACATATATTCGATCGATCGTATCTGCTTTATCGAGTATGGGTACACTTTCAACAAAATAGAAGCATTTGTAGATTACGTATTACTTGAAATCAGTAATCACATATCTCTCGTTGCCAATATTTTTCAAAGAGATTACATATACAAATATTTTTTATCGATCGAGAGAAAGAAATTCCTCAAATATAGTATTATAAATATACTGATTTCAATGTCTCGTAATTATCGTATTATTTTATTTATCTTGAATCTTAAGTAAGGATAGATCGAAAAATCTCTGCTTATTGCTTTATCATCGAAGAATAATTTGTACCTGCAACGATCGACGATTATTTTCACTATTAGCGTTCGATTATAAGATATAATCATTTTTTTAGTACGATAAAAATGAAAAAGAAAAATAAGAAAATTTGTGATGTTTATTTAATCGCTGCCTGCTTTGAAACAAAACTAACATTTCAATCTAACTATATATTTGTAAGCACGTATGTATTTGATGATAGATCGCTGGCCGAACTATCCTTTTTTTCGAACATGCAAGCATGAATTTGAAAGCAACAAAAGATAAAAGACACATTTTTCGAATTCTTATTTTATATTCAGGTCGCTCGCATTTACGTCATATTACTTACCGTTTACCGCATTCTCACTAATCAAATATTTACGATAATAATCTTTTCTTGATATGATTATTATAATCATCGTTTACAAAATGTTTCATATATTTAATATTTTCCTTCGAAATTCTTTTCGAAACGTTCCTTTTAAGAATGCATATATACGTCACAGAACATTAAATATTCTTTGAATTGTTTTTACTTTAGACGCGTAATTAACGCAAGCACAAAAAAAAAATATATATATATATAACTATAACTGTATTAATAATAATCGTAACACCGTAGAGCACCATCATGTATACCGCTTGTATTAAAGCAATTAACGCAATAATAACCAGAATTTGTTACATTTGGTAACAAGCGAGTGATGTTCTCTGTATACTATATTCGTGCGATCTTATTCATATTAAAAAGTGGATGAAAAAGAAACTTGAAAAAATAGGAAAAGACAAAAAAAAAAGAAAAAACAGAAAAACACAAAAAAATTACAAAAAAAAAATGTTAAATTTATTTCAGAGTAACGTTGAGCTTGTAACAGCACACGAAATATAATTTAATGATAGATTAGTCATCGTTCCAAGTAGTTTTAGGATTCGATTCGACATTTGAATTCATTTCTTTCAATATTTCTATTTCTTTTGATTTTATTTCATTTTATTTGTTTCTTTTTTTTTTTCTATTAAATGTATGACATGTATGTATCTGGTAGCGAGGTACAACGAGAGAATGCAAGAATGCGAGCGATCATTTTCATATTATTCTAATATTCAAGTAGATTAGAAGTCTTACATTAAACGATCGCATGTATATGTGAGCTATTATATATTTGAAAATTCCTACTAAAGATATTGTCAATATTTTGTCGTTTATTAGAGCAATCGTTATGTGCCTTTGCTTCCGCGATCAACTCGTAAACGTAATCGTTGAATTTTCTTCGTATTTACTTTAATATTCATTAACTATGATTTGTGATATAGAAATTTCAATGAGAATTACATTTTTGAACAATCAGAAAAATTGTAACGACAGGATTTAAATTCGACACGAAGAATATTCCATTTCAAAAAATTCTGGTTCCGAGAAATTAAAATTCGAATTTTTTTTTTATAAAGAAAACATAATTGTAAATTTGTACAAGATTTTTCAATCGTGTTAACTCGAATATCGTAGAAGGGTAAGCTTTGTGAACTGTTTTATTTGCATTTTTCTTTTTTTCTTTTTCTTAATTTCTTTTTTTATATTCGAAACAACAGCTTGTCGTGTGTATGTAGATAGTAAATAAGTGGTAAAAGATTTTCACCATTTGTTACAATTTTTCAATAAATCTTTTTCACAAAATAATGACTTCTCGTATATGTCCGATTCGGAACCAGAATCCGACGTATTTTTCAACAACAATGAGTAATAAATTTATCTTCTGGCAAGTGGACGTTCGATTTACAAATCTTCCAAACTCTGAAGGAAAGAGAAATCTCCTTAAGTCTCCAAATCAGACTCGTCCGAATCACAACTGGAAGTTACTTCTTCCACCATGCATCCTGATTCTTCAGGAATAGTTTCTCCCATTAGAATCCTACAAAAACACAACAACAACAAAACGAATGGATTAATTTTCTATCCTAAAGAATTTACAAAAAAAAAAACCAACACGATTACGAGTCGAAAAAATGAATCTAAAGTGATTAATGATTAGCCTAGTCAAATTAGATCTCAAACAAAACTCATTTTGATCCTCTTTAAATCCTGGAGCAAATTCGTGGTTAAAAAACAGCAAACAAAAACGTGCATCACACGATTCTTAATCGATATTTACGTTTCCATCGCTAAGGAATCCCAGTGATATGATGTATAGCAAGTTTGTCCTGAATGCATTTAGGTTTTCTTCTCATTTTCCGTAGAATACATTTTCGTGGACAGCAAGACTCTTCGATGTATCTGTGTTCAACACAATCTCACTTTTTCTGAATCTCAACAAACTCGAATGAGACAATAACTAATTTATCTAATTCCTGACGATGTTAGAAAGATTGCAATATCTATTTTTTTGAACCTATTATTGAGTCACATAATAAATATATTATAATAGTGAAAAATACCAAAAAGTTTGATATACAATAATTAAACTGGAGTCGAAGTTTCAACTTAGTGCATTGACTAAATCGAACAAATACATTCAACAAACAAGTTTAAGTCCTGAAAACGTAGATCTTAGCATGAATTAAAAATCAATATAATATTAACAAAATTTTGATTGCGCGTTTCAAGTAAAAGTTAATAATAATAAATGAACTATATGATGACTTACTTATCAATGTTTAAATTTTCATCAGCATCCTTCATCATGGCTAATGCTTGACAAAAGTCACGTCCAACATCTTTCAAATGATCCGTATCGAAATGTAACCCAGCGAGTTTTCCTTGATCGCAACCACAGAAGCTACTCTCCATCGTATAACTTCTGTTAAAGAGGATAGAATTTAATGAATTCGTTAATTAAACGATACTTTTCCTCTATGTAATCAACTAGAAAAGTATATAATTTTAAGCAGCGAGTAATGATATCGAAAAAGAAAAAGAAGAAAAAGAAAAAGAAAAAAGGTTTCGAATAAATAAGGGAGAAGGGAGCAAAAGCTTGTTCGGTAAGCTCCGACTGTAGAATCGGTAGAATCGTGAATTCGACCTTGGCCGACCCCACACGTAGACTCATTGCAAGTCAGATCGTTTCTTGAGATGCGATCGGTACTTACCTCGAAATACCCAACTCCCGCCATATGGCAACCCTGGCGGTGGATTCCTTATTTCTTTCTACCTTGAAGGAGCACAACGGCAAAGCAAAAGCCGGTGAAACTTTTTGCATTAAGTGTGGTAACATCTACAAGATACAACACATTTTTGTCAGTACTTATTATTTACAATAAATTTGGATTATTTATATTTCAAATCGATCACACAAAATTGTGGAATTAAACTATTTCATTAAGAATATGATTTATATCATTGTTATAAGTTGTGTAATGTTTCTGTACAATATGAATTATATTATATTTTATTTGTAAAACTAAAATCTTTGATGGTTTGAACCAGTGATATATAACTTATGTACGAACATGGGCCATCAAATTCAGTTTAAGAGAATCTGTGGTCACAGACAAAAAAGAAAAGTATTTTATGACGCAATGACGCAAAGTATCGGGCCTCGGGCTACATGTTTGAAACCAACTACTTGTCTAAACAATTTTATTACAAGTATGATCGATCACTGTCGTCTATAAATTATCTTATATATATATATATATTTTTCTAGAACTTATATATCATATATTATTGTTCAAACGAGCAAACTTTGTGTTAACTATTATAATTATTTAAGCAAATTATATGAGACGAATTAATGAAAAATTTGTAAAAAAAAAAAAAAAAGAAGTAATGCTTGTAAGTCTCCGAATACTGTATTATTTTAATTTTATTTGTAATAAATACTTATATAGGGTTAACCGTAAAAGAAAAAAAAAAGAAAAGGAGGGGTATGATCTATGGTGATTTGAGTTTGTTAGCTTTTCCTTTGGAAGAAGAATTTGAAAGACGGCCGAGAGACGTCGATGCGTTGATTTACGAGAAGCACGCGCATCCATCGATATACACAGTGAATACACTGTGAGTCTAAAAATAATATCCTCGTCGATCCCTCTTTCGTCCCTTACCAAATACTGCACCGGCTGGTCCGGTTTCGCCCTGTCCGCGGCGCTCCAGGAACTCGACCTTGAACAACCGAAGAGAAACACGTTCTTCCTCCGTGAATGGCCGTGATAGTCGACGAAGACATGAGGAGGTCTTCTCAGGACCCTAGTGCAGTATTCCATCAAGCCCTTCGTGTGATAGATCACTGGATGTAACGATTGATCTGGATTGCTCCACTGTCTGTTCAAGTCTTCATTCGTTAGTCCATATCGATTGCTATGATCGACAAAAATAAATCAAGCCAGAAAATATCAATAACAATCGACAGATTTATTTCAAATTGATTCAAGATTTAGATAGAGAAATTTGACTTAGGCTTTGTGTATTAGAAATTTCCTTTTATTCTATATAGGTTTTTAAAAAGATAACAGATTAGGTGTAGGAATTCATTCGATTCCGTTCAAATCATCATCCTTCTTTTTCGTCAAGAAACTCGTCAGAAAATAATGGAGACTATTTCGAGAATAATAACAGATATACGATTACTTTATAAATAAAAATATTACATTTGTTAAAGAAAGCATATAGAATTTATTGCTGCACCTAATAGATAGAGGAAAGTTTTCAAAGAATATATATATATATATATATATATCTGCATGTATATATGTACTTGTTTGATCTCTCAAAATAGAATTTGCAGTGTTAGTTTCTTTTGCTAATCGAAGCTCTTTGTATGTAAATACATCAAAGATTCAAATAGATAAATTCAGAAGAGACTTTTTAAGATACTCTATCTATTTAAATATGTTTGATCTTTCGAAATAGATTCTTTGCATTATTAGCATAAATTTATAACTTTAAACTTACAATGGGAACGGATACGAATATTTTTGTAACTCGTTAGAACTGCTAACCAATCAATTTCAATCAAACCTTCATTCATACTGTCCTCAAATTTTTATTCAAGATTCATTTGGAATATTGGTAAAATAATATGTATATAATATAAAAAGAAAAAAAAAATAATACGAAGACTCGATTTATTTTAACGAATAATTTTGATTAGTTTTGGTAATCGTTTGGTTTTGGTATTTATAAGATAGAAGAAATATATATAAAATAGATAGAAGAAATATATATATAAAAAAAAAAAAAGGAAAGGGTTGTGGGAGAGAGACCTCGAAAGATCGTCGGCATTTAAGGATTCAACCGCTGTTGGAAGGACGTTTCCGGCGGGCGGAAGTCGAAGCAGAGGAAGTGACACCTTCGCGTCGTGCATAGCTAATCATTTTCTAAGCACATCCTTACTACCACCGATGGCAAACTCCCTAGCTTCGATTATAACGTCGTTGTTGTGTCGTCTTGACATCGTTTCGGGATGTAAACCTTGTCCCGAGGTGATGCACGTCACTTAACTTGAATCTTAAGAGCTTCTTTACCTTCACTTTTATACTTTTATTAAATTGTCTATTTTAATAACAACAATTTAATGTACTTTAATGTTTAAAAATTGAAAAGAAGAACTTGAAAAAACGAATAATCATTTTTACCAATCGTTTAACTTAAACGTTAGAAAATTAGAATTAAATATATATATCAGAGATTGCGAGATTAAAATTATTTTAAATTACTCCTCGGTTTAATTTTCTCGTAATAAAATATATCTATATCAAACGATCATTATAATGATAAAAATTATAAATAGACTTGACAATGTATTAAGTTTCTTCATCCATTCACTTTTGAATGTATCTCTAGTGTGACACTACGATAAAGACATTAGCAATTTGATGATAGTTAATAACTTCCGGTATCGGTGTTACACGTCCACGTACATGTACACATATATATACATACATACGTATTAGGAAGCTAAGTTCTTCTAGTCACGTTCATAAGTAAAGATCGATTTCTCATCCAAGAGAAAGATGCTGTGAGAAGACAATAAAAAGTAATGATGCAGTTGGTAGAGACAGTGAAGTGTCGACTGCAGCTGTAACCATCTCTCTCTCTCTCTTTTTTTTTTTTTTTCTATTCTTCTCTCTTCCTTCCTCCTCCCAAACCTCTCCACTTGCCCTCTTGAGGACGTTCACCGTCTGATTCGTAGAATATGCAAAGGAAGAAGAGTCATTCGAGATAATAGATTTCATCCCGTGTAGATTCCCTGAGTTTAAGAAAAAAAAAAACAACTGTTGAAGTAGTAGCGGTGGGGGGGGGGAGGGAGTTAGGACTGCTTGGTATTAAAACGAAGTAATCAGCGTACGTGGAAAACTTGTGGAGACGTTTCGCCAGGTAATGCTATTATAATAAGAATCGGCTAGATCTCTCAGATGACGATCATTATGTGAAATCTTAAAACGTTCATCTTCTTATAACGTGTGTGTTTCTGTGTTTGTTTAGGTACGGATGTATGTGTTTGAGCGTGAATTAGATAGAACTTTTTTCTCTCGCGTTCTCCTACGAGAATATATTTTTTATTTTATTCGAATAATACTTTGACTTTCATAATAGTTTGAACGATTCGAAAAATGATTAAAATATCGATGATATTGCAAAGAATTGTCGGTATCGTTATGTGTACGGTATTTAATATTGAAAAATATTAAATACAAAATCTCGTAAATAAAATGTAAAAAAGATGATTTATGATATTGTTGAAGTGAGAGGAATAATTTTTCGATATTTCCTAAATAAAAAGAAAAAAAAAACATTATCCGAATAATTCGAGGACAATGAAATTTGATATACGTAATTTAGCGAGCACCCGGTGTAATGGACAGCATAAGTCTGTTCGTGCGAGCAACACCGATGTCAATGACTTGAACCGAGGAGCCTTGACCGCGAACTTCTCTCTCACCTCTTGAGAAATCCTCGAGAAATTACGTCTGACCGAGCTCACGTCTCTGACTTGTCCCGCAACATACTCGCTTGTTCCGTCATTCTTACTATTTCAATCCTATTAATTACTTATTCAAATTACCAATTTTTTATTCGTCAATGCACTATATTTATCATGTTACATCATCCTTATAGAAAAACCATACAAGTATTTTTAACTACGAGTTTGTACCGCGTACTATTGTAAATTTATAATGTCATTTTTATTTGTCAGACACACGAAATAATTATCTATGTTAAATTAAAGATTTATTTGAATTTATTTTATCAATGAATCAATATTATATCCTTGAAAGTTAAACATATGAACATAAAATGTGAATGAACAAAAATTACACAGTACACGAGAGTTCACTTTCGTTGCTAGCTTAATTGCTCGTATTTTCTAATTGAAAAGATTAGATATTTCCCATTGGAGGATGTAATTTCTTACTCGATTCGAAACTTTAAGTAGAACATACAATCACGAAAGAAAGAGAGAGAGAGAGAGAGAGAGAGAGAGAGAATGCACTCTCAGCGATTAACGAGAGCAAGGTATAAAAGCTTTTGGTGTATCGATCGGAATAACGAAATGAAGTTCAGCTAAAGGATCGTGCACCGGTTCGTTGCTTGCTCGAGTAAGGGCCCCACGTTAGAATATATTCGTGACCGGTCTGGATTTGCATTCCTCCTCCAATCCAAGGTCTCCTGGCCCTTTTTTACGAGCTCGCCGGTACGGAAAAGGGCCGAAAGAATCCCTTCGCTTCTTCTACCAGTTTCAACGATCGCTTCTTCTTCTTCTTCTTCTTCTTCTTATTCTTCTTCTTCTTCTTCTTCTTCTTCTTCTTCTTCTTCTTCTTCTTCTTCTTCTTCTTCTTCTTCTTCTTCTTCTTCTTCTTCTTCTTCTTCTTCTTNTTCTTCTTCTTCTTCTTCTTCTTCTTCTTCTTCTTCTTCTTCTTCTTCTTCTTCTTCTTCTTCTTCTTCTTCTTCTTCTTCTACTTCTTCTTCTTCTTCTTCTTCTTCGAAGAGAATTCTTCAAGCCTTTCTTCGATAGAATGTAACTACTCTCTCAACGAGTACTCCTTTCCTTTTCTTTTCTTTTCTTTTCCTTTCCTTTTTCCCTTTACTTTTTCATTTTCTATTTCTTGTATTCTTAAAAAATAGTTTAACTCGCTTTAAACACATTCCACACGTAATTATTAAGGTATACTTATGCCTTATCTACGTATATTTCCTTGCCATAAGGAATGCCATTTTCATCTTAAAGTTATTTCTAAACCGACGTGAGTCTCCTTAATAATGTCGTGTAAATGTCGTAGAACGACAAGATCTTGTTAATTTATTCAGCGTTACTCACATACCGATTGACTATCTTCGTTACTTCGCGATATCGCTTCTACGAAGATTAAATTTAACACCTGAAGGAAAAGTTTTTCTCGCTTATGATTTGTTATAATAAAAATCATTACGTTAAATCTGTCCAATGGAGATAAATAAATCAATCAATTTATCTATTATATTCCTGTAAAATCAAAAACGGACACTTAAAAAGCGAACGATAAATAAAAATCTATCCGTACGCGTATTGACAGATAAATGAATAAAATAATCTTAAAAAAATGCAGTAAATCTAAACGTCAGATAGATCAGAATAAAATACGCCAAAATATCAAATAAAATATACCCAACGTTTCCACTTGCTACTAAACAAATTGATTATGTTAATTACACGTTGTAAAAAAATGTATGAATTCTTTTACAAAAGAAAAAAAGACATTAAGCACGATGAGAACCACATCCTAGAGAGTTAGGCTCGTTAAAAAGCTACCTGCTGGTATGAAACTTGAGTCTGACGAGATAACCAAAAAAAAAAAAAAAAGACAAATCTAGACAAGAGAGAAAATTAGATTTCGAAGGTCTGGGTTCTTTTAGGAAGATGACCTATCCCGTTTCGATCGTCTATCTCTTTCTCCTATTCCGTCTCATCAGATTATTCTTCGCGGAATATAACATTTCGCGAACTGATATTCCGTTCACTTGAAATAATGAAAAAAAAAAAAAGAAAAGATAGAAAAGAGAAAAGAGATAGATGAGAAACAAGTTTGAAGAAGAGCGTAAGGGAATAAATTTATTCCCATGCGTGCTAAATATTAAATTACGTATTCAAGGACAAAGCAGAGAAATAAATGAAGAGGTTGGGCGGCGGGCGGGGATTGGGGGATGGGGGTGGTTACAACGAGTCAGGTGATTCTGTTAAACTCTAGACAGTGGTAATGCCCTTAAAGCGATTTAACCCTATGATTCCGATCGTTACTTATTACTATGAACGATCGTTATTCCATCCCCCGATCGATCATTTTTTTCTTCATTCAAGCAGACTCCGTCGTCTTCTTCGGGAGTGTCTATAAATTCATGGGGGATAAGCTTGGATCTTAATGGTGATCGAGAAGAGATTCGCTTTTCTTTGAAGGTAACTTCAAAGGGATAAGTTTTATCGCTGTACTACTCGAGGTCGAATACACAAGATAGGGAGAGAGAGAGAGAGAGAGAGAGATCGAGAGAGTTCACGGTTTCAGGTTCTAGGTCATACTCTTGTACTCTTAGCACGTAACAGAAGAAGAAGATGAAAAGAGAGGCGACTCCTCTAAGTTGATCATGGCTGTTATTATCATCCATTTCTGCTTTCTATCGGTGATTATGCATCGCCCGTTTCGTACCCGGCAGCAGTCGAGATAGAAAGAGAATAACCATCTAATTTATTACACCGAGACATTACATTGTATAGCTCTAGAAATAGCGTTGGAAATTAAATATAGAAATAGAAAAAGGATCGAATCATTTTCTAATCCAATGAATAACAAATAATAAATGAAAATATTGTTATGTATATATGTATAGAAAGGGGATAAAAAAACAATTTGATATATTATATTATACTTAATATTCTTACATTAATTTAATAAAAAAAACAAAATGCAATAGAAGCTATATAACGATATATTTGATACGCTATATAATGTTCCTAATTTAAAAAGCCATATCGAATGCGATCTAACATTATCGTGCATATGCGTATTCGCCGTAATATATATAATAAAAAATTAATGAAAAGTATGAGTTAGCAGGACTATTAATGTAATTAGCAATATAATAACTAAAAATATCTGTAGGTATTATTGCTCTAGCAATATAATAAGTCTTTCTTTGCAGAAGAAAGGGAGAAAGAAAGATGTGTGACTAAGATTTAGAGGACAGCACGAGATTATGTTCCTCCTCCTCCTTCTCCATCACTACCTCTTCTCTTTCTTTCTTGCATTTCCGAGTCTTCTTTTTTTCGAAGAAGAGACGCAGATCTTTCGTGTATAGCAACGTCGTATAATCGCATTAAATCCCGAGGGAAACAAACTGTCTAAATATACATCCATGGGACAGACAGGATGAACATAGCAAGCTGCGAGTACTTATAGGCCAGTCAAAGAGAGGCAAACTTCCATTTTTTTCAGATAAAGGTGGCAATGTTTGATAAAATGGTAATTCGACGTAGCTGAATCGAATGGTGTTAATTTTTTTCCAGTCGGATCCCGACATTTTGAGAAAAAGGGTAAAAAATAGCCGTATCTTAAAATCTAGGCATTTAATCGAAAAAAGTTGCAAACTAAAGTTGTATATAATAAATTAATTTTGTGTCCCGACGTATAAAATTAATTGGTATAATTAATTGATATAAATTTTTTGTCTCACAAAATTTTATTTGTATATCAAATTGAATATACGTATTCTTTTTAAGACGAAATTTATAATTAAAAAATTTTTCCTATTAAATTATGTATTTTAGAAAATTTTAAATTACAAATTTGTTGTCTCGTAAAAATTTATATTTTTTCAACTGCAAATGCACATGAAACTGTACATGCAACTGCAACTGCAACTGCACATGCACATGCAACTGCACATGCAACTGCAACTGCACATGCAGCTGCATTTTTTTTATTATATATTTTTTTAACTTTTTAACTGTGCAACTGCAATTTTTCCTACCTTTATCTGAAAAAATGGAAGTTTGCCTCTTTTTGACTAGCAACGAGATCTATTCTAAAAAAAGATATATACTAAGTTCTCAACTTCGTTCTATATTACCGGAATCAACTTGACCAATGATTCGTTGTAAAAAATAAAATTGATTGTTTTGTTATTGTTATTGTTTTTGTCAATTACATATAAAAGAATTGAACAATCTTTGACTATAGCAGTTGGTAAAATGAAGAAATTCGCTCAAAAATCACATGAAGATCACTTCATTTAAAATAGTATGAAGAAAAACAAAAAGCATCAATAAAAAATACTAAACTATGCAAAAGTGAATTATGACTCTGAAAGGATGGACTAAAAATGAAAGATTTAAAAAGAAAAATTAAGAAGAATATAAAAGATCTTTCGGTTAGTTCGTGCATACTTCTAACTGAATATCATCTTAGGATAAAAGGAAAGAAAGGAAAGAAGACGGGTCATAAAAAAAAGTAATTAACTATAGTGTGTGTTGTCTATGCCCGACTACAAAACTCGCGTTCCCACTTTTATCCTTGAATTGGTTAATAAATTTCAACGGATCTTAAAACTAAAAATATAACTTATTATTATCTCAAAGATACACACACACTAATTGCCATATATCGAAGTAAAGTATATACGAAAGTACGATATGAGGATCACTGTCCTAGAAATATCAAAATGGAAGAGTCGACGAAGAGCCTACGGGGCCCTATGAGTCCCTCCAATCGTCTTGAAGCAAGCGAGGTTCTTCGCGCGCTAAAACCAAGATCTCTGTATGCAAGAAAGAGGAGGATGAGAAGAAGGTGGTGGTGGATGATGGGAGACGAAGAAAGAAAGGAATGAAGAAAGTGAGAAAGAGAGAAAGGATATATAAAAGCAGAAAAGAGAGGAGAGAGAGAGAGAGAAGAGGGCCTTACATAGCGATCGCTGGCAGGGTCTGAAATAGACCTCGACGAGAATCCTCCTGTAGAATCCTCTCCTCCTTCTCTTCCACTTCTTCTTCTTCTTCTTCTTCTTCTTCTTCTTCTTCTTCTTCTTCTTCTTCTTCTTCTTCTTCTTCTTCTCTTCCTCCTCTTCTTTCTTAGTCGTCGCATCGGCTGGTTGCCTCGAAAGCCCTTCGTTGCTTTTATTTTGGCAAAAAACAGGCGAAAACCCTCCGAGGCTCGTTTGTAAGAAGTTGCTTGCGAAAAAGAGAATAAGAGAGAGAGGGGGAGAGAGATAGAAAGAGAAGATGAAGAAGAAGAGACTCGTGCTTGTTTATCCAGGATCCAGCTCCCGGCAAAAGCATCAGCTCGACCACGAACACAGTTCGACCCCCATTGGCCACTTTGCCGGAGCTCTCTCTAAGTGCATTCGAGTGCATTCGAGTACGCTCGGTGAATTCCCATGGGAAATACGCCGCTGGGTAGGCGTGACCTGTTAAACTGACCTACGCCAAGGTAAAGATAAAACGTGATTTAACCGCGGACCCTTCTCCCTTAGCTCTCTTCAAGAGACACCACCGATACTTCCGCCATTTTGTTTGATCTTATATAAATTCCCTTTTTCAACACCCATTTATTTAATCCTTTTGATCAAATTTATATTTAATACACCTTTCAAACAATATTTTAATTTGACATCGAAATTTTTGGAAAATGATACAATAATATATATTTTAAAAGGAGACATAGTTTGGTCACTGGTATTTATGGAGCTTTTTTTCTATCTATACAATATGATAAGTTATTTTAAATTTTGTAATATTATTTTGTTCGATTTTTATTTTAATTTGTATTATCTGAATTTCTTGTTGAGAAATTAACCGAAGAAAGAATAAATCAAGATCAGAAAAATAAGAAAAGAAAATAGGATAGACGATGAGATAGAGGCTGAAAGTCAAGAAAAATATATATTATACTTGCTACCAGTGAATCAGCAGGGTCGTGAGAACTAAGAGGCGACAAGAAGCCGCCACGAACACGACTGTCCGAATGGCATCGCGATAAAACACGATGCCACGTTAATTCCGTTGGCTTTCTCAACTCTCATATGTTTTAACACGAAAGTGTTGTTGAATGTCTCGAGGGTAGTGAACTCCTGTTTCATGATCGAATGAATTAGCGGTATGTTAATTTCGTAAGCAACGGTATATAATGGGATAATCAATATTTATATGCGACCGTTGTAAACACTAGATCAACCGAAAAAATATATATATAAATTTCTAAATCAACAAGATTAAGCTAACGAGTGGAATCGTTGGAAATAATTAAACGTTTTATTCGTCAATAATTAAAAGCCCGATTAACGAATATTATTATTTTTCCTAAATATAAAATAACAGTTAAGAAAATTCGTTTTTATTTACAACGAAGTTTGACTATTTTTATTCATATATATTTCATTGATATTAAATTAATTATTGAAAAAATTAGAAACGAAAGATAAAGTTGGACCTTGTTATGTGTCTTCTCGTTAAGATCAACTAGTTATTGTAATATGTTCTCAATGTAAAAATAAAGAAACGAAAGAAGGAGTTTCCTTAGTGTGGTAGGTCTCGAATGTCACATGGGGATTTTTTTTTAAGGATGCCCGCACAGAGCTCGTAACAGAAATAGCTTGCCGTGTATGATCATTGATCCGTCGATGGACTATGAGCAAAGAAAATAGATAGGTAGGACAAGAAGAAGAAGAAGATAAGAAAAAGAAGATGAAGAAGAAGAAGAAGATACGTAGGTTTTCTAGGGTACGGGGTACCGGTTCTATATTGTAACCAAAGCATACAAAGATAGTTGGAGCAAGAGAAAACTGGACTGGACGATATGTACCATCAGTAACAGCAGCAGGTGATCTCGAGCGAGAAGACGCGGTCAGAAATGAAGCCTACCTTGAGACTGAAGTCTTTTTGCGGCCTACCGTGTCGATAGGCTCTCTGGGATAGAAGTGGGATCCCATCGGTTACGAAAATACATTTCAAAGTATCTATATTTTTATCTATTTGATATCACTGATTTACCATAATACATGACAAAGTCTAATGGACCTTAACAAACGTTCTTTTCTTTTTATCTTTGAAATATTAGGTTGCCCAGAAAGTTTGCGCTAATCTTGCATTTTAAATATAATATATAATTTCTTCTTAAAATCGGCACGAAATTTTAGAACGACCTAATATATATATATAAATGTAGGATCGATTTTGAAAAAATTGATAAATGATTGTATATACAAAAAAATATAAGTAAAATATATATTTATAAATCAGAAGAAACTTTCCATTGGCTTGCCAATACATTTTAATGTGTAAGTACTTCATAAATAATTGTATTTAATAATTTGTGAAATACACAAGAAATGAAATGATAATTCGTACAAGCAGATCTCGACGGTACAAAATTCCAGAATAAATTCTGAGAATATATCGAAGCAAATCGAAAGGATTCCACGCTACTACTACACCCGATGATCCAAGGCAACTCTTTTTCTTAAAGTCAACGAACCTACTACTATGTACCCATGAACCAATACACACAAACGACACACAAGCACACGGGTGTAATAACGTATACACTGAGGTAAGTTTTTTTGTTATAGCTCGTCGAATAGAATTTTGTAGCAATCCATTAGAGAATTTTGCACTTGGCAGAGCAACCATTAGGATCGTCATCGTCGACGATCGCAAGATCGAGCCAAGGACCAAGGATCCATCCTTCGACGTCATCTTCATCTTCTATTCGTCTGGGTTATCCCTCTCCACTTGGCAAACTCAATATCTATCTATCTATCTCTGAAGCCTATATCCCCCCCTCTTCGAAACGATAGTTCGAGCGTCCCTTCGTGCCTTCGTCCGCCCTCCTCTAAGCTGGTGCTGCTGTTGCCAGTGAATCATCTTCAACGACCCCCTCCTCTTTGATCCGGCCAGAAGACTCTTAAGGGGGCCCCCGACGCAGCGCGAGGCCAGTCCGAGAACGCGACCCTAACATTAACATCCGGTGTATTCCGACAGTCGGAAACGGAAACGACTGTTTGATCGTACGATTAGTAGCACGGCAACATGAAGATCGCTACGCTGCTTTTAGTTATCGTGGCCTTCGCTTCAGGTTAGTACCTTTATTCATACCTATCTTATATCCATTTCATCGATAACAATCGATTCCACAATACCTTTCTTCTAATTATTCATTTTTTCTTTCCCCCTTCCCTACTTGCCATTTTCGACTATTTTTTCTTAAACAAAATTTTTTTTCTATTACACGAACAAATGTTCTTTTCGTTTTTTTCTCGTACCGTGCTCGTTCAATTGAAGTCTTTTACTTTCAGCAGAGGTACACTTCGCGTACCTATCTTCTTCCCTCGTCACGGTTAAAGTCGGATTAACGATTCTCGCGGCGTCGTGAACAACGAGCGTGACTTACTCGATGAATGAAACGTATAGTTTAGTGAGACACAAGCCAACTTGCTCGCGAGTCTTTCCTTTTCACTGCCGGCAGACGTCTCAAGGTCTTCCGGTCGTTTACCATTACCTGCGTCGCCAGGTTTTTCCACGGATGCATCCAACTTCTTTTTTCTTCCCCCTTTTTTTTTTTTTTTTTTTTTTTTTCTTTATGTCTTCGCATGCTACATCAAACAACTTCCAGAGCTAATCTTCTTCGGTCGTGCGATTATTATTAGAAACTTTCGAGTTTATATTTAGAATACCTACTGTGAGAATATCGTCGAAGTCTTCTTGGAACACTCGCGTACAAAGGAAAATGCACCTTCATCTTTTTTCTTCGCAAATGTTCTTTTTTTTTTTTATTTTTATAAATGAAAGAATGATAGATTAGATATTTGATAGATCAGAAATAGAAGAAGGAAATACAGAGAGAGTAAGTTATGTGATCTCATCTAAAAGCTGTTTGGAACCCTATAACACTAATAATTCATAAGTACAGTTAACCAAATAATCGTGTTAGTTCAATGAACTCTCCTCGAACACGTCTCTGTGTTAATATCATTCTACTCACAAAAGATATCTCCTCGTGTGGTTTCAGTTAAATCGTTTGGTGTTGATGAAGAATGTCCCTGTTTAGGATAATTAAGGTTCTTTCATGAAATGCCCTAAAGGCAAACGAGAATGCTATACAAATAGATTATAAGATTTTTTTTGTCGAACCGCGAGACAATATTCATTTTAAAATAAAACCAAAAAATAAGAAACTTGTCTGTAATATTTTTTTTTCTTAGAATTTAAATAAAAATTTGTATAGATGCATATATTATTATTCCGAAGGAATTAATATTAACGATATCGAACGTTCAAACGATTATATTACAAGTTGAAAGTTCAAAGAACCAATTAACTAACACGAGGAAAAAATAATCAACACGTTTGTATAGAAATTGCATTCGAATGTATGATCATTCTCGAATGTAACGGTCCGTTGTGAAAAGAATCGTTCATCGGCCACGCTAAAATGGGACACCGGGTAGATTAGAATTCAACAGATGGTGTTTCTACGTCTGGAGATGCCATTTGCGGTTCTGTCGGAAGTCCACGAAGGAAACGTGCTTCGATGAGATAATAATGAAGAATTCTAAAGTTTCCTTAATATCGATTCTTTACCGGTTTTTGAGAATTCGTAATAGGAGAAAATAACATTTCTTTACGATCATGTGCATAATATATGCTTCGAATTATATCAGAAATTGTCTATAAAACATTTAAGCTCAATATTAACTTCATTTTTTTTTTTTTTTTTTAATTACTCTCATCCTGATGAATTTTTTGTAAAGTTATACCGGTCAAAATTATTATTATTATTATTATCGTGTTATACCACCGGAACTGGAATATATTATACACCGTGATGATTACAACGATCAAGTCGCAAAAAGTGTCAGTCATAATAAGTGTCAATTACACGTTTGGTCTAATTTCATGATGATCATTAGACACACACACACGTACATTTTTCTCGTTGATCAAGCGTATAAAAGTACTCGACAATTAATTGATCAATTATTTTTCTTTACTTTTAACATTAAATGAAAATTTACAGGTCAAAGGATCACGACAATTCAGCTCGATGGTGTTCAATATTTTGTATCAAGAATGAATCCATATAGTCCAGAACTCAACTACTTCTTAGCGTATCAGTATTGTCGTTCTCTGGGTCTTCAGCTGGCGTCCTTCGAAACGAAGGAAAAATCAGACACTATGACCCAATACTTAAAGAACGCTGGTTACACCAAGTACGACTTTTGGACGTCTGGTAATAAACTTGGCACGGATATGTTCCTATGGATGAGTACAGGACTACCCTTCAACACCACTTTTGATTACATGCTTAAGAGACCTGGAAACAGACCTGCTGATGTTCCACCTGGCACCGAACCTCAAAGAGTTGCACGTGAAAGGTAAAAACAAAAACTGAACGAAAAGATGCCAATTAGAAAATGAAAAAAATCCCACACATTTATTATAATTATAGATGAATTAAAATAGAAAAAGAAAAAAAAAAAAGGGGAGATTAAAAAATATCTATGAAAAATAATCTCGAATAAGATATCAGAGAAATTCTTATCGATATTTTATTTGAATTTCAGTGGCGACAGTGGCAGTGCGGACGGTTGCGTTGCGATGGTAGCACCAACGTTAGCATGGGAAGCACAGGATTGTACCCTCGTTAAAGACTTTATCTGCGAGCAAACAAGATGCTACTACTATAACTACGGCAGCATTCCAGTCTCCGCGACTCAGGGGTAAGAGGTGAGATAATACTTGTCACAAAAAAATACACAAAATTGCCGAGAAAAAGAGAGATAGAAAAAGAAACTAAGAGAGAGAGAAAACCAGAGGATGCCCAGTGTCTCCAAGGTGAATCCTGTTGGTTATAAGAATATAAAGTATACGGGGAATCGATAAAATATGCAAATGAAACCCCTTCCCCCATAGATGTATAAGATCTCTTGCACGTTAATACAGGATCGAATTACAATGTTTTATCGGTTATCTCTATTACCTAGCTGATTATTTTTCAGACAAAATTATGGAACGTTCTAAATGCTTATATTATACAGTAGTTAGCTGATAATCAAAAAGGTTGCTGGTAATCTGGGATTCTCCGGTAACAAAATATCCAACTGACATAATTCTCATAATTTTATATCAAACGTACGTAACGCTTACTTTTTTTTTTTATTTCGATCACTAAGATGGAAACATTGACTTGGTTCTAGCTAATTTTTGAAAAAAAAAAAAAAAAAGAAAGAAAAATGAAAAACGTGGACGATGTCTGATATCTAAGTGCTTTTTGTAATAACGCAAACATTCTCTCGCCTCTCGCTGCAAATACTCAACAACAAAGATACATCATTGACACAATCAACACACACAAACACATGTACGACAATGAAAAAGTTTCGATCCATTAATCGGTTAATCCAATATGTGAAACTTGCCAATTTGGATCCAGACTTTTGTTCTTTGCGTTTATAGGAGCTTCCTTTTAATAAAAGCAAACTAACCATAACTAATATAATAAAGATAAAATGAGAGACGTTTGCTTGATTAAGAAAATAAGATTTATAAATAATGATTTTCTTCGTTGGTAGTATTTTTAATGGGAAATAAATTGAAAGGAAGGAAGGATGAAAATAAAATGTGAGAGATAAATTGATGGCGAGCTGAATTTTTCAGAAATCGCAGACCCTACATAACGACCACCTCGGCGCCAGCCAGCGACGACCAGATCGACGAGCACGTTGAGGAAGATAATAAAGATGAAAAAAAACCGGATGAAATTATCGACGAGAAGACAACGTCATCGTTGAACGTGGAAAAGGAAGAATCAGCGAATGAAGACGTACCCGAAGACCCGGTCGTTAGCAGGCTGATAACAACGGCCGCTTCCGTGTCTGGCAAGCAAGACGAGAAAAACGATCAAAATGAAGAAGAAGAAGAAGAAGAAGAATCTACTGCATCGAGCGTTTTAGGAAACATCGAAAGTCGTAGACCAACCGATGCATTTGACAGAGAATATGATAATACGAGACCCGACAATATTCCGGATATCACGAGTCTCTTTACGGCTAGCAGTGCTGATGGTCGTCAATCTAACGTTCATCAAGCAAGAAAAGACAACTCTGCTAGTGTCTTCGATGGCCTGGAGACTCGTGAAATCCTTCGTACAGCTTCTCGACCATCCACCTCGGACATGAAGATGGAACACAGAGATTCTCTTGATTATGATTTACTCTCGGATGCCCCAGCTGAGGTTCAAGCTGACATCCAAGGTGAAACTGAGCCTCCCAATAACGGTCTAGAGGATGCTCATACCATTGGTCCATATGACACCGTTCAAGATTACGTTAACGATCAACAGGACATTGGTGAATCGGTAATGATGAAGGATCAGGATGATGACAGTAGTACGATCCTGCCAGAGGCGGAACCGGCCTATAGGTACAACATCAAAGTGCGCACCAACGGCAAAGTATTAGACCCTCCGTCCAAGTAACGCTTTACTTTCTAGGCACCGACGCCTTCGTTAAACGCGTTCGTTCGTCTATTAATTATAAGAAAATTAACAAAGGATAATTAAGATAAAGATGAAGAAGATGACGACGAAGGAATAGGATACGATTAATCTTCGCAATAAAGGAAATTCCTTGCGATCATCATCATTTAAATAAGTTCTTCTAGTCCAAGAACACTTTGAACCAATTAAACCTCTTTTCTCTCTCATGATAACACATTAAATACAATCATAGAATTCAATTAAATCGCAAGGCAATAACGTCGTAGGAACCTAACTTCTTCGCATTTTCTTCAAACGTTAATCTGTAACGCTATTTTTTAACACACGTCAATCATCGCGTTTATCGAAAAAGAATAATATTAATAATATTAATAATAATAATAATAATAATAATAATAATAATAATGATAATAATATTAATAATAATAATAATAATGGTAATGATGATAATAAAAAAAAAACAGGTTAAAAACTCGTGGATCACCATAATCATCATCGGGGGATCATCGGTGGCATGAGAAATCACGGTCATTTTTCATATTGATCACGTTCTAAGCTAAATATCACGCACAAGAGTGGACGTACTAACTTGATGTCCTTGGTTGGAGGAAAATAGAAAAATCTTAACGTAGACGCGTGATATTCTTTTGATGAAATTTCTTAAAAGTGACTTTATGAAACAAATATTAGAGGCCAGCTTAAGCCATTCAACTTCTGATAAAACGATATCGTTCATCAGATAGAAAATTTAATAATGAGATCATTTTCTTTTTTTTTTTTCACGATCATAAACTTTTTTCTCCAACCGATGATACCAGACGCGTATAGATAGTACGTCTCCTCTCATTGGTGCGTTAATTTTAATGCATGATATTCGTGACGCCAGCTGACATCATCGTAGCATCATTTTCAATCATTATCGTTCGAAAGATCCTAATTAAAAAGAGAGATCCTATTCGCTCGCTTTTCATTGATTCACCAATGTGGTCAACTGGTAGTCCGCTGACGTCACGTTTTATTCATCAAGATTTAATCATCCCTTAGACTTAAATGAACACGTTTTCGTACGTTCACAAAACGAAGAGTTCAACGACCACGGCTAAGAAAGAAACTATTGTTCTTTCTTTGAGATTGAATACAGGCAAAAAGAAACTCTTCCGTTATCTGAACGTACAACGATCTATCCCTAAATTTTACCACCTCCCTCCTTCTTTTTTCTTGGGGGAGGAAAATCATTCACTAAACTGTTACACGATAAGTCAAGCACTCACAATAATTTTCTACAATACTACCGTACAACAGTGTGGAAGAACGTTCAACTTGTGTAATAAATATCGATTGTACTATGAGTCTATTGTTATTCATGTCCTATAACTTACCAGCCATTGACCACACCTTCTGGGTTCAACATCGGGACGATTTTAAATACATAATCGTCACGTAAGCTACTAGCATAAGTAGAATTGCTTAGAAGAGTCTCCAATGTTCCATGCATTATCCATGATGCGTTGCTTTCACCTGGATGGACTCTCGACGTAAGGAAGATCACTTTTCTGTTCTAAACGTATCCCAAGTAAATATCTTCAATTGTTAGACAAAAGTATTTAACGTAGGAACAGGAGGTAAAACTTACCGATATAGGATTGTCCTTAGAATCTGGCGCAGTTATGGTCATTAATGGAATTTCATTGTTATTCAACGACTCGCAAAATGAATCGGCACGAAAATAAATGTTCGAAGAACAAATCTTTCCAGTCCATTTCCAAATATTGGTCATTAATTGAGTATAAGTATAAGGGAAGTGATATGCCAGATAACAAACGTCGTGAGCATGAGGAAAGATAACTGTGAAAGTTGTCGTCAAATAATTCTTTCCCTTCGTTGGTTTCTGATAACAATTTCTATAATAACAAATATCTCTCCCAGTTCTGACCCAACCAGGTCGTCCCAATTGAGCTTCGATTACGCTGAACAGAATAGGCTTCATGCCGAAATTAAACTGAGAGTTTGCTTTTTCGCAATTTATGATATTGAACGTGTAAGGAGCATTTATTTCCATATTTGATACTTCGAAGTAAAACCATTGATGTCTAGAAACACTGTTAACATCTGGTGTTAAGATCAAGTCGTATTCTCTCAAGCCTATCTGCAAGCAAGCGAGAGAAATACACAGAGAAACGATATGTGTAAAAAGGGAATTCATGGATCTTAGCCTAATCAGATTTTTTTTTTCAACTTCAACATGTTCACCATTCAATGTATAGTTAGTATGTAACACATAAAATTAATCAAAGTTCATTTACGTATATTTACAATAACTATATGCGATTGTTGTAACAGTGAACATGTTCATAACTGCAACAAATACTTAAACTATACCTTAATAGCTTTTCTCAAATTTCCACTTTCAAAACGAGATTCAAATTGTAAATATTTGGTCTCTAGGTTCCTTTTTCCAATTCTCTTTTCGTCCCAATTACAAAGTAATTTATCCGAAATTCGATCATTCGTTGGTACATTCATCGCTAGAACATCCAGATTATAAACAACCTCGTAATTTTTGGTATTAGCGTGAAGACTTCTTTCCACGCAAGTTAACAATTTTTCACGACAAACTTTTCTATCTTTACAGTTCAATGGTTCTGGTTTTCGAAAAGAGTCACCACCGATTAAATCGGGATAAGCAACTTTGACAAATCTGATAACACTTTTCACTTCGGTTGCTATTATGCAATAAGCAAGCTGATTAGTAGTAGTCAATGAAAGATCTCTTAGTGTTTTGAAATTAGATAATATATTTTTATGCTTTATTTGATATTCCATTTCGTCCTTATGCGTTTCCTTTAAAAGACTTTTTGAGCGAGTTAACGTTTTCTCATTGTTGACTGTTAAATTCGACGCAGTATGTTCGAGTTTTATTTGAAAATTATTCAGCTCTTTAAAGAAAACGCTATACCTAAAATAAGAATCCATGATGTTAAAACATTATTTTCCAAGCTGGATCAAACAATATTGTTACCCAATCAAATTTTCTTCGGTCCTTTGAGATGTAAAAACTCCGGCAAAAAATTTACTCTCATCTATCTCCTCGGTAGGATACAAATTCTTATCACTCGTTCTCCTCGAACTATGACTATCTTCGTCGTCTCCTGAATCAAAATCACTATATAATCTTCCAAGCGAGGCCACGCTGTTGGCCTGAAAAAAAAATAAAAAAAATAAAAAAAAAGAAATAAAAATTCAAATTAAATAATGCGCAGAGACGCATTCTCTTATTCGCAAATTTTATATCAATAAATGCGACGTACTTGACTGTCAAGATCACTTCCACTTTCGATGCTGTTAGCCCTGGTATTCGCTTCCGGTAGATTGAATCTAAATATCAAATATTAAATAAATCAAATTATATTTGGAAGTAACGATAAGATAAAAAAGAAAACAAATGATGATATTTTTGCTTAAACATTAAAAACGCAGATCAAACATAGGAAACCTTGAAAGTATCGTTCACCTTGCAGGAGACATTATGGGTACAGGCAAGTCCTTCTTTTCCAGACATTGATTGATTATACTACATATACGTGACAATAAGCAATCGTAGGCTTTTTCCTCCGGGCAGTATGTACAAAACCGGTACAGTAGCTGCAGACCATTGTTCGACTTAATAGCATTCCTACCAGACTCTGAAAGTGGGAGGAAGAAGAAAAAGATCTTTTAAACGATTCCGAGTTATCCGAGTCCTTTCTTCGAGAGGAAGGAAAATACATCTTGGAAGACGTGCTCTTAACTGAAAAATCTCTTTCTTTGGACTATTCATAAATATGTTCAAAGTACTCGTACGTTACTTCAAAATAATCTTAACAAATACGATAGGTTTTCTTTTTTTTTAGGTTCCCCACGCGTTTTTCAAGGATTCCTTGAGTTCGAGCTCGTGAAAAGGAAGAAAGCGTTATAAGCAAAAAAAAAATAGAGAAAAAGAAATATCATTGAAGTTTTTTTAAAAATAATTGGTCGAACGACTAATAATTAATTCGTAATGAAACGTTTTAACCGATATTGAGATCAACGTTCGTTCTCGACCGGTCATCAACACGGTCGAATGTAACTCGTTATAAGCACCTGTCAGCCTTTTTTCACTTCTCTTAGATTTTTTCTGGATACTACGCGGTTTGCTTTCGTAAAAGAAACTTTACTTATTACGCAAAGATGCTGTAGCGTGTTCAGAGCGTAGTTGCATATCTTCAGTCTCATCTGTCCCTCGTATCTCTCCCATCTGTCGAAAATTCGCATCAATTGATTTACAATCCCAATCTTTACGAGCTTCTTGCAGCATAATTCTACGAAAAATTTCATTACGTTCAATTAAACAATGAAATCAAACGAAAGTCATTAGTACATTTGTTTTTGTGTTAATATTATTGAAACTAATAAAATTATAAACTAACAACGTACTTACTGTTAGTAGTCAAATATTTCAAACATTCAACCAAAACTCTTAATCTAATATTAGATGCGTTACCAACTAATATCAGGGTCTTTTCCAATGTATTAACTATACCGTCATTAATAAGAATTTCTTGACAAAATGCTGCGAAATAAAATATCCGATTATTAAATCTTACGATGAGAGAAGAGTATCGATCATTTAAAATGAAAAACTTTGAATAATACTCACAGTTCTGAGCAAGAGTTTTCATTATCAGCAACAATGGAAAAATCATTTTACTGTTGTTATAATGTTGCGCGAGGAGTGTGTGAAATATCTTGATACAACTTGAACTTTTGACATTAGCTAAAATTCTCATATCCCATTGGCTAATCTACAACATATAAATACTTTATTCGATACATATAATTAATAATATTAATAAATAATTCATAAATATTTAAGTTGATATGCAGTTTTACCTGTCCCAAAATCCAAAGAACTTCTTGCATCATGACATCCACAATAGGACTGTCTTGATTCTGGATATTCATTAAATTTTTAACTAGGACTTGCGTGATCCCTAAGTTTATCAGTTGAATGACAGCTATTCGGCTACTGCTTTCTAAAATAAAGAAATAATAGTTCACCCTTATCGTAAATTTATATAAAAACTTTGAACGTTTTCATTCAACACAGTTAATAGGATATACAAATGTTATATTTAATATATATATATATGTTACCCAAACAAAAGAGTGTACTTTCATTTAATACAAGTTTTATTATAATCTATTTACTTTTAGCATAAAAAATATTTACCAAAACTTTTCAAAGAAATTGCAAAGATGCACAATTTACAGCAATAGCGGATTTCCGGCTATGACGGTAACATATATATATATATTGTATGTTATCGTTTAAATTATTTTTTCACGATATTAATAATAATTTATAAATTTGAATATTACTTGTTGCACTTTTGATTTTACTTCCTTTCGATTTGCTTTTCGTTACTTTTGGCATTATGCACTCGTGTAATATTGCAGCAATAGTATAAATCACTGCGAGATCCTTGCAATGCTGTAAAATAAAAAATATACATTTTGATAATTTCTTTATTATCACGAGATCAAAATTATTGTTATCTTCATTTGTAAAATTATTATTTAATGATAATCATTGTTTCATCTTTAGTATTTTATGTTTTCCAATTTAATTTGAAAGAGAGAGATATTTTAAATTACGAAAGAAAGATTTGGATCTTTGGGCAATTAAAACTCACAGTTCGTTCGTGCAACACTCAATAGAAATAAGAACGAACGGGTCTGTAGTTTTGCAAGCCTTTCCGAGGGGAGATTGACAAGTGAGTATAACTCGTTAATGTGACTTTGTCACGCTACTATTTCGTGTATGAAACTTGAATACCTTCGTACTTATTCGAAACGCCTAATCAACTTTACATGGTGTGGAATGTTCACCAACGAACACGTTTTGTTTAATACGTTTCGTGACATTTCAAATTAAATCCTTTGCTAAAAATACTTTTTTCTTATCATTTAAAGTATGCATATTAAAAAGTTCAAAATTACATCTATCATGTCATATTATTTATATTGAAATTAGAATATAAGACATATTCACACAGTGTTCCCCCCTAAAGGGTCACCCATCCAAGTACTAACTACTGTGCGAGACGTTGCTTAATTTTAATAATCATACTATCTTTTAATAAACGTTACCGCAAGAATGATAATAAAAATCTCCATTGCACCAGAACCCTTGGTCCATAATTTTTCCAACATATCCTCGCGAACTCGTTTATCTAAAAAATACAAAGTGCAAAGTTTTATTAACGAGATTAAAAATATATAAGTAATACCTGTAACATTAACAACAATTCAATGATATTAACAATCAGAATAATATGTTATAGAAGCATTTAGTGAATGCCGGATCTAAGCGGGGACAGACGTAAAAGGTTTAATTACATTTTCATTCGCACCATTAATCACGACAAACAAGTAATTCGATACGTGTACATAATATTGTAATAAATAAAATAAACAAATAGTCTTGGCATAAAAACGATGAGCGAGCGAATGAGAACAGCTGCGAAACAAAGATACTACAAATTCAATAAAATAGCAAACATACTGTTCATGGTTAAGATGGTGTAATCTAACTTTCAGAGTTGACATTAAGCCAATTCGGATCAATGCCATGAACGCGACTACGTGAAAAAAATACACGTAACCCATAGGTACGTTATCATTCGAAAGTAATTGCCAATTTAACGTCAACGAAGATTTACAGATTTTCAAAATGATCTGTGATCAATTTTCAACAAGATCTTTTCAAGTATTTAATTTATATTATTAGCTTTTATAGAAACACTTGAGAAACGACGTAACTTTAATTACTTGTTGTTAGTTATGTTGAATGGTCAAAGTAACTAATTTTATTAGAGTTCAATTTCATATATAAGTAGTATTAGTAATTTACTGTTTGCGTTTAGGCATTACAAGGAATACAGATGGTTATATAAACCAGTATATAAGAATTTATTTATAAAATACATAATGTTTATTACTGGTCAAATAATATTTAATGAATTGAAATGCAATCTCATTTTAAGACGAGGAAATTGGTTTAAATTCGAAATCAGTCGAGTGCATCGACATTCTGCTGGTAGAATGTAATTCTGTTTGATACGGAATGAAATCAAACGTTCTTATCACATTGGCCTAATTTCTATCCCTATCGAGTTACTCCAGTATGTATTGTCTGGATATCCCTCGTTAGTTGGATTATTGCCAACTAATAACATGTCAAGGCATGTGACGCGAAAATTCTTACGTAACCCTTACATTAATTTTTTATGTATGAATTTTCAGAAATGACCACGATTGATCGTATCCAATTGTATTAATATCTTGAAAGTAAATTTACACGTTTATTCTGAAATCATTTAAGAAACATCAATGATTTAATATGATATATATTTCCTCATATTATTTTTTATTTTCTTTTTTTATAAAAAAACATCGATTCGAATCAATTAGTATGAAAAAAAGAAACACGTGTAGCCGAAGGATCTATTTTTTCTGTTGAAATTTTATCGAAATTTTCAAAACTTTAACACATCGTTCGAAAAATAAAGTTTACGTAGTCTGATTCTATATAAATCGGGTTATCTGTTGAAATAGGTTTTCAGAAGAACTTAAACGACCGCATGAATTCCAAGTTATATATCTTATGCGACCCGGATTTTCATTTCGCAGTTTAGCGAGACATAATTTGCGAAATACAATGACACTAAAAAAGCTGTTTTCACCTTTTATTTCTTAGCAAACGTAGAACTAATTCTTCATAACATACAATTTCATATATTCCTTAAGAATGTTAGTATTCACGAGTTGTGTGTGGACAATAATTCGAATATAGTATCACTTAGGTGTGAAATTAGATGAGCTGACAACACTAAGAAGTAAAGTAATGTTCCCATTGTGCAAAAGAGATATTAGTCTTGTGATAACTTGTTGAAAAGCCAAAATTTCTCTTAACGTATCCATTACTCGCGAATTTAACCTTCATTTCGATCTTAATATTCTTTGATATCGATCTTCCGACTGATACTTTGATCTTTTCTCATTGATCAATTAACGTGATACCGTTCCAAAAATAACATTAGTATAGTTTCCTGACTGTTTTGAGATTTCCGATAAAGGTAAAATGTTAAGGGTAAATTTTCATGAAAAATAAAAGAGAAGAGTGTACTCGAGAATTCATCTGTAAGCATTTGCGCGGTTTACGACTAAATTCATATATGAGTAGAGGGTTGAAAACTTCTGAGCCAAGCAGGACGAGAATTGCGTCAGGATTTTTCAAGGGTCCTGTCAAAATTTGTTCATACTTACGCGGAACAAATAAAAGTAATACTTATATATAATAAAAATATACTATGTCTACCTCGTATAGGAGGTCTGAAAAGTTTTGAGCCTACCACGCAGAGGACTGAAATCTTTTGTCAGAATTTTGTCCACAGTAGATTCCACAGTCTCCATTTATTATAACTTTTTAATCAAATTATTTGAAATATGTAACATTAAAGTTTAATGATTTTAGATATTTATTACAAATTACACCGTGGTTACTATCGCATTTAATATTATTTCTATTTGAATATAACTCTCTAATAGAATTATAAGGAATGAAAATAAATTGAATTAAATAAGTAATTATAGGTTATTAAATGTATGATTACCTGAAGAGGTGACTCGTGCGTGTATCTTGGTTATTAAGGCCTTCAATGCTTCCCCTCCTGTATTATGTTTTAACGCGAAACTTTGTAGCTTCTCCATGATCGTGTTGTTTATAGCGTCGTCCATGCATCTACTGCTCGGTGACATCGCACTAAACCGCAACGTAAACAGTTAGTTAAATTACATTGTTCAAGTAAAAGTGGTAGGAACTAAACGAACTCGTTAATTTCCTGACGGCATTGCGTGCAAAACGATCGCGGTTTAACCAAAGTATCTTTCAATTCTAAATGAATACCGATAGAAATAATAAAAGATTAAAGATATTTATTATAAGACAATTAGCAAATATTTTTTAAAACAATGACCAAATTTTTTTCTATATAATTTAAATATAATATTATCACAAATTCTGACAAAGGTTTATTGAGGGATTTTAGTTATAAAAATGATAAAACATCTATGCGATTCGTTAATTTCAATTTGCAAACATTTGGAAACGTACGTTTATCGAAATAATTGAAAGCAAATGATGATGAAAGGAGGTAATTTTTTGTCTTTCATGAAAGTAAAAGAAGATGAACGTCTCTCGAAGATATCAATGAATCTCTCCATTGGCTTTGGTCCAACCCAGACGAAAAATCTCATTAATCAGATTTTACGATCAGCTGGCCACAGTTAGTCAATGTCACAGAAATGAAAATCAAGCGTAGAAAAAGAGATAAAGAACTTTCAAGGCTAATTAATACAAAGAACGTAACGACGAGCAGTATTTTTAAATAACTTTCTTAATAATAATGTAAGGAATAAATAAGAAATATACGACAAAAAAATAAATTGAAATATCTAATCCATACAAATGCAAAATCGCAAACACATACAACTATACGAAGTCACAAAGGAACTATGTACAATTAATATACTTAATACTTTGCATTCTTGGTACGAGAGTCTTAAGATAAATCCTACAAAAATAAAATGACACAGGTAATTCCGTTTAACTGTGAGAAACTGATAAAGCAATGAATATAAAATAATAAATTAAAGACTGCAAATAGTAGGTAATGAGGTAGAAGAATAAAAAAGAAAAAGACAGAGAGATCAACGCGTATATTCTCCTACACTACGGTTACACTTAAATTTACACGCGTGCACACACATACACATAAGCATACACTAACGTAAGGGAGGATGGACAAACACGCACGATACACGAATAGGTTGCTTTTGATTTTTACTCTTCTTCCTGCATGTCCTCCTCAATATCCTCGAGTGCATTCACTTTTGTTGGTTGCTGGTTTTCTTTGTCACACATTTCCAATACGCGCTTGTCCTTTCTCTCTTTTTTTCTCTCTCTCTCTCTCTCTCTCCCTCTCTCTTTCTCTCTCTTTCTTTATCCTTTCTTCTTCTCACGATAATCGCCTTCGTGTTAACGATGACAATGACTGTGATAAACGAAAACAGGAATGACGACTTGACATCGATTATATTATCAAATCTAAATAGCATGAAAATTTGACTAAGAAGGGATAATGATTTTTACGCAAAAGACAAATTTATCTATTTTGTTTTGATCTATGTTTAATCTCCCTACTTTATTCCCTCTTAATTTCCTTCTTAATTTCACAACAAAATTCGCGATCCACACGCTTCAACACTCAAAAGCGTTTTGACGTTTCCCGCTGCCAAAACTATGTTTAAAAGCATAGCACGCATGCACGCATGAGGTACTTCTATTTATATCCACGGCTGCTTTCCAAAAACCTGTTGGTTTTTTGTTGTTATTTATTTATTTTTTTAATCTGCTTTTAATCGTTAATCAATACTTTTCTTTTTTTTTTGTTTTCTCTCTTTTTTATCAACGACATCAACGAGATTTAGAATACGACACAAACACGAACCGTCTATTATATATTCACAATAGATACGTGTGACTAATCGATTTGAAAAGGAAGACAATGACGTACGTATAAAGATGAATCTTAAAGAGAGATAGATATAAAGCATATGTGCAGGATAGCAATTTTGAGAAAATCACGAATAAATGAAATTGACCTATTTATTTTTATCAGAAAAAAGAATGACGGATATATAGAATATAGTTGAACATTCGTAGCAAACGAAACGCGTATCACTCCTCGAAATATACTATTTTGTAATTGGAATATATATAGAAACATATTTGTCTCTAGGAAAGAGTATAATACAAACTATTGTTCTATGTAATATATAAAGATTGTTTACACGAACGGAAAACTCGAGAAAGTATACAACACATTATTCTAATCTATCATGATTTCTAAGTTTCGCCAAAAAGTAGGTCGTTAAATTATTACAAGACAGGTGAAAATGTAACCACATAATGACAGCGTTGATTGATTATTTACAATGCTACATTTTCTAATAATTTGTCTTAAGAAAGTGATAATTGATACAGAGAGAACAAAGAAAAATGATTCGATTATTTGTACTTTCGTTCGGATGAAGATGCATTTCACGTGAAAAGCCAAAAATAATTTCGCGTTAGTCGCTATAGTCGTACGATCGTAGGAAAAATTAGAGTTAACACGAGATCGCACAAGAGATATGTATATCAACAACATACTTTCTTCGAAATCAACCTCGGAACACGTGTTTCTTTCGAATCATCACTCTCGACCTTAACGTCAATTTCAAATGAAAATGCTATACGAATTGTCAAACAAAATCATCCATATATCCTTCGATATTTAATAACTTGATTATTCTCAATTATCTCTTTACAATAAATATGCATTTGAGAAATACGTAAATATACTTGAACAAAAGTAGACAAAATTTGTATAGATAAAGAAAAACTCGGAGAGCACACCGAAATAAAGAATATTTGAACCGTAAGAAAAAATACCGAGAGATGAAAATTCACTGACACTCGATATTAATAGTTTCATACAGGATCGTTGAAACGTAAACATTCTCGTGGCCATTCGTATGAAAGACTAACCTTCGAAAGCAACAACGACGAGGAGGAACAAGAGGAAAGATAAGTTTAAACGGGTGGTCGTCGTTCGTTTAAATACGCCCTGTGTACCAAGGTCCTAATTGGTTCAAGAAGGACGACACTTCACATCCAGTTTGAAGTGTTGAACTCACGTGATGTCACATATGCAAAAATTCGATGATCTTACACGCACTCATTCTAAACGATACAAAAAGATAACGGAAAGTACGAGAGAAAAAACGAAGAATATTCGATGATATATCAAATGAAAGAGAAAAAGATAAAAATAAAGAGAGAGAGAGAGAGAGAGAGAGAGAGAGAGAAAGAGAAAGATGAAAAGAACGAGCACGTCTAGAGTAGAATCAGATGTATGCGGCACTTGTTGATAAACACGAAAGCTCCTACTGCAGATTGATTAGTAGGCGTGCGAAGTTCCACGAGGGTAGTCGACGCCTCACGAACTTTCCTATCGATTCATGCGAAAAAGGGCGCTTCGGTTTAAGCTCTGATCCACATGTTCAACTCTTTCTCTCTTTTCTTTTCTTTTTTTCTTTTTTTCTTTTTTTTTTTTTACAATACGTATCAACCATTCCTCGTTTCGATCACAATTCGGGCCGAATTAGTTGTGCAGCAAACCTAGCAACCATTACAAATGATTACAAATTTGTTAAACAACGCTGATTTTATCGTATATATTGTCATTTTTATTATTTAATGTCTTTTTTTTTTCTTTTGTTCCTCTCTCTCTTTTATCTCTCTCGTATTTTATATTTTTAATTATAAATTAAAATATCCTTTTTTTTTTTCTTCTCTTTCATTTCAAATTTCAATCCGAAAGGCTATATATTTAAGTAAAAAAAATAATAAAAATAAAAGGAAGAATATATGAAAAAGTTGAACTTGTATTTTCTCATTTCTCGTGAAATATAACGTAATGTTAAAGTGCACGTAGCAAACCCTGAAATAACGTCTTCGTGAGAGATATTGACGTCATCTTAAGTAGGATATTAATTGCGTTGAAATATAGAAATGGAGAACATGCACGATATGCATTTATAGCATGTAAATATAATCAAATAAATTCTGAATTCTATGTAATCGCATCTCATGTGTATATGTTGATATCTTCGGTATAGAATTTACAAAATCGTTTCACATCTTTTATGAACAAATCGACCTCGAATATCTATAAAAGGTCTCGACGAGATTTTCAAAAAACAAAAAAAAAAACAAAAAAGAAATCATTAAACCTGTAAATGGAGTTAACGCTACCTAGTGGATAAAACTTTAAAAATCATATAAATTATATATACAAACGCGATAAAAATTGATATAATTTAAAAGAAAAATAAATTATAAAAATAAATGAATTGATTGTTGATATTAAAAGTAATATTTGATCTTAAACCATTACGAGGAATAATTTTTGTCCACAAAATGAAATTGTTCTGTTACGTATGTAAGTAGAAAATGTATGTTTAGAATGATTATGATGAAATATTTAACCTGGCACAGCACCCTTTCATCTGGCTATCGTCATCGCGATGAATCTTCTTCCGTCGTTCTAAACGAAATTTCATTTCTGCTAGTCCAAGTGTTTGTCCTCTTCGTCTACTTTTCCGTTTAACACGTAGAACCAATTTTGGTTTATGCTGACGCACAGAGGAATGCATTTCTATGCTAGTCGAGAATCTGAGACTCGAAGATGATAGAAATATTTAATATAAAATTTCGATCTCGCTAACTCGCTAGATCTTCATTTTATGCTTCCTTGGTAACTCCAAGATTTTTTCTTACTCATCCTGCCTACAGCAACGATGAGGTTACGTAAGGTCAAGACAATGATCTCGATTAAGATGGACGGCGTTCTTTGAAGTCAGTCAAATTTTATTCTTTCGATTCTCGAATATAAAGTAACATACAATTTTCTAATATACTTTGTTATATCAACATACAAATATATATTTTAATATTTGTTTGTTTGTTTAAATAAAAACCCCGCCACACCCACGTAATAAATCGAAAACTATCGATCAAACATCATTTCATCGTCTCAAAGGACCGAACAAACAGGGTGACGCTGCTACAGCTTCGGTTTGAATATTAGAAATGCAAATTCGAACGTCAAAGATAGCTCTCGACCACACCCTCCTCGTCTAAGAGATCTAAGCGCGAATTCGACGATCTTTCAACCGGTTTACGTTTACGCTTTTTTTTTTTCTATTTCCATCGGTATACATAGATATAGGGTGACTCAAATAATTCTATTCATATTAATCTGTTGATTTTTTTATCTGTCTTTTCTCTCTCTCTCTCTCTCTCTCTCTCTCTCTCTCTCTCTGTCTTGGCGTCATCACGTTACAACACTTTCTATCAATTTTTCTTCTAAACTCCATGAGAATCAACGAATTTTCGGCTAACCACGACTATTCTTCTTCGTTTATTCCAACGTCCACTCGTCTATTTACTTCAACTCTTCTTCAGACTTCATTGTTACGCTCATTATTCTCACAAAGGATCCTGTATTTCTATATTTACACCTTTTTCCTTATCTTTTTCTTTCTTTTTCTCTTCTAAAGAAATCTTTACGCGTACTACTCCATTACCTTTATTACGAACAATAAAAATCATTAAAAAATTTTCCCATCTATTTTTTTTCTTAACTTCTCATTATTGAGAAATATAATAATCATTACAAAAAGTTATCTGACTCACCCTATATAAGTGTACATAAGTTATCTTCTTTTTGCTCATCTCTCGATGCAATCGTCGAGTCATTCGAACTGTATTAAAATTTTCTTCTTAAAGTATTTACGATAAAACGATCGGAGATTTACCGAAAAAAAAAGATAAAGATAGTTGTTAAATAAACAAATTGAAATTAATTATTGAAAGGAAAAAACTCGATGATATCTAACACATTGCCGAGATTCATTAATTTGACATGAAATAATTAAATAGAGAGAGAGAGAGAGAGAGAGAGAGAGAGAGAGAGAGAGAGAGAGAGTTTTTCAATTTAATAATCGAAATTTGAAAAACATTTATAAATAATGTGCAATTTAAAACGATTCGCGCATCGTGCCTTCTAGTTAATTTAAATTGGCGATGTGTTAATTCATAAAAGAATAATAAAATAAACCCAAGTAAAAACACGTAAATTTTTCAATGAATCCAATCGTGTTCTCTAGATTACACTCGTGTCAAATATAATAAAGTTAATTATAATGGTTGATCCTTCTTACAAGAACATACTCGATTGCCCGTGAAAAGAAGCTACGACTATGGGCTTGTAGAAACTAAAAAAGAAGACTCAGAAATGAAATTTCACGTGGTGGGAGTGTTGCTCTTCGAGAACTGGATATATAAATCGCGAGTAGGGCTGAAATTCAAGTTAGTGCTGTGCTAGTTTTTCTCTGACAATAAGCGAGCTTCTCTGTACGCAATGCAGGTAAAATCATAGTCATCGAGAAGACAAAGACTCGTTTTTTATTCTAATCGCCAATGAAATCCTTATTGTCTTTTATTCTATTATTATTCGTTTTATCTATTTAACATTCTAACATGTTAGAAAAGTCGAAGAAAGAGGAAAAGAATAAAGTCAAATAAAATAAAACACGGATCGAAGGTTGTCGTTTATCTTTTCTCTCATTTTTTATGTATGCTCAATAAACGTGACACACATGTTCAATAAAAGAACGCGTTATTTAACTTTTATTTATGTTCAACCTATCTTCTCTCATATTTTTGTTTGGCTTTGTCCGTTGCTATAATTATCGGCACATGTATCAGAAAATATAATTTAATGATTTGACGATAGGGTGGAACGTTTAGGTCATTTCTCTTTCTCATTGTGACCATTTCGATCATCGAAATTCAATCTGCGCCACTTGCCAAGTTATATCCAAGCAGTTATCAATATCCACAAATGATTCATCCCGAATATTATCAAATTGCTCATCAGAATGCTCTCGCACCCTATTACATATACAATTTGCTTCAGGTAAGATATATTAATATGATTATTAATCAATCATATATTATATTCTTCAAATGTTTTATAGGTACATACTGATTTAACATCTGATAGTCAAACACTTTTGCCAGAAAAACAAACGACCCTTACTCATTTGCCACCCTATGGATATTATTACTATGACTTTAGATTTCCGATTAATCCGGTAATTAATTAATAATAATTTGATAATGTGAAGTAATAGAAGAATTCATTCAAACACTTATTTATATCATTTTATTCGAAATTTAACGTCACAGATATATCCAGTATTGAGTCCATCTCGTCCTGGATTTATTCCGGGATCAGGATCACCACCGATATCAACTCAACGTCCATTCGTTGATGTTGACAATGACGACGACAGTGGTATCGAAAAATTGGACACAAAGATTGAACCAGATAATAAACCTGATGGTAATGATGGAATTTACGAGGACGATGACACGATCACTATCGAAGCAGTTAAATAACATTTTCCGTCCAATTAATTTAACAAAATTCCTGTTTCCTATATATATATATATATATATATATATATATATATGTTCATTGTAATATAGTTTTGTCTAAACATTTATATTTGATTCTTTAACTAATATTTATTAAAAACTTTGCAAATCTCAATAACATTTTTTTATATTAAGATGTATCGAATTTCTTGACTGGTCACTCGTAATATTTATCTCAACGGATTGTTTTTTATCACGTGTACTTTATTAGATAATAAAATAACATTAAAGAAAGAATACAGTATCAAAATAGTTTGTCTGTTTCTCTCTCTCTCCCTCTTGCTTAATGTTGCGATTAATTCATACGCATCCGTTACGTCTATCATGACACAATGCAATAATTGTTTGCCATATTGGATTTATTATTCTGAAAAAAAATTATGGAGTAAAGGAAAGAGAGAGAGAGAGAGAGAGAGAGAGAGAGAGAGAGAGAGAGAGAGGAAAAAAGCTAGTAGAGGTTTCTGACCCCAAGCAACAAAGATAAAACTCGAACGAAGTCGTTGGAGAGAAATTCAATTCCATCATTGAACTTTACAACGCGAATAAGTTTAGATCTCTATTCGATCGAACATGATCTACGCACGACGAAGTAAAAATCTAATTATTCTTGTTTGTCAGATAATAGTTTTATTTACGGTGATCGTTTCTCGTGAAGTTTCGACTTTGGAAATTGATCATGACGACTTATTCGTCCAAAAACAAGTGACATTATCCGATAATCATGAAAAAGTAAGAGAAGAAAATTCGAATTTTCGAAACGTATGGAAAAGAATTGATGAATTCCTTAATAAAAAGATAAACGATTATTATATTAATAATGAAGAAAATGAATTAGTGACAAAGTACGACGAATTAAATCAATTGAGATCGAATAAAATAGAAAGTAATATTAATTTGAACGATTGGACGAAATATTTCACAATTTTTCGGAAGAACAACGAAATTTTGAAAGGACCGTCAAATTCGAATGAAAAATTGACGTACAAGATCAATCTAGATATCAACGAAAAAAATGATTCTAATGATTTAACATTGAATAGAAACGTACGAAGTATCAATAAAACGGATTATTATGCTCAGAGAAAAGCAGTTATGGATAAATTTCATGCTCGTCAGCGAGAAATAAGCACAAAATATGGAAAACAGTATCGTAATAATACTTCGATAATTATTCGTAAAAACAATCAAACGTTAAATGAAATGACCAAAACTTTCAAGAATACGAACGATCCGGTTTTGGATATATTCAATATAGCTTCTAATAATACTTTCTTTGGACTAGAATTAAATAATAAAACTAATCAATATGAAAAAGATACTGAAAATAAGAGATCTCGGATCTATGATAGCTCTATAAGGGATATTACTAATTATACTTCGACATTGAATAATAAAATTAATCAAAATGAAGAGAACACTGAAAAGAAAAGATCTTGGATCAGTGATAACTCATTAGGGGATGTTACCAATTATACTTTATCTGCTGATCATAATTGTACGAACCTTATTGTACATGGTACTTATTTAAAACAAAACAAATTGACAGTATCTTGCTTGGAAAATCAGAATGAAGTGATTTTTAATAAATTTAACGAAACACTGCCTTCCAGACCAATTAGAGTAAGTTGATTAACTTTGACTAAAAGATATCAATATATTTCAACTATTTTATATTGTTTAGGCTACCGATGGAGATTTATTATGGGGGACATGCAATGGTACATTGGTTTATGAACACAACTTTTCATTAAACGTAAATGGCCCATCCATTCTCGAAGCTATTTTGGAAATTATCGTTGATGGACCTCTTTGTATAACTTGTATAACGATACGTCCATACAATGATACCAAAGAGGATGTTACCAAGGTGTCAGGTGGAGAAGGTTTTAGTTATGTTAAGATCAAGTTAAAAAATTCCCAAAACAAAGGATTCTCATACAAAATTAAAATTTGGGCCGTGGTAAAGATAGGCGACAATTGCGCGTAAAAACCAACGGTATTTATTTTTAAAACATCAAATAAACAATAAGTTAGTTTCTTTTTTCTTGTTCAATTTCTATATTATAAAAGAAAGAAAATTTTCAAAAAGAACAGGAGAAATGTAACTATGAACAATATACATATATATATATATATTTTTTTTTTGTTTAGCAGTCTCTATCAGCCTCGAAAGTATCTCAAGAAAAATTCTCAAAAAAAATTCTCAAGAATGGTATCCTCTAACACAGTAGTTCTCAAACTTTTGCGTCACGTTGTTTTTTACAAATTAATAAAGTTACATAATTTCGATAAAGACATTGAGAACCATTGTTAAAGTGGTTCCTAATCAACGTGAATTTTTCGGAGATGACGTTGGCACTGGTGGCGCTGGTACATCCGGTATCTTCTCTTTCTCATTTCCTTCTTTTCTTCTATCCTTATTTTCATCAGGACTAAAATTTGTCAGAATATTTCCATTCGTGGCTGGTTTCGGAATAATCGGTGGAATCGGTGCGAATGGTTGATAATCAACATAATAAGTTCCCGGTATCAAATGGGGATTGAAAGCATTGTAAGTGTAAAAATAAGGATCGTAATAAAGTGATTGATAATTTGGATAAAAGCTTAGTGGCACTTCTTCTTCTCCATCTTTTTTCCCTTTTTTCTTTTTAGAATCATTTTCACTTTGTTTCTCATCATTAGATCCCCCTGAGCCTACATCTTTTTCTGTAACTGATTCTGTAGAAACATCAACAACATCTTCAGGTTTCTCAGTATTACCAATTGGTTGTTCGGTACGTGGAAAATGTATCACTTCCGGTCCAGCGAGGTGAGGAGCTACGTTAGCATAATAAAATGGTGGCACATAACCGATCGCAGTTCGATGAATTACTGGTTGTATCACTGGGTAAGCTCTCGATGGTGAAAGATTTTGATTACTTGTGATCACAGCGTTGTATACTTTTGGCACCCTCAACAAGCCTGGTTCTGATGCCACGATACATATCAATAGTGATATGATCAGGATCCTCATCTGAAATAAAGTATGCTTAATTGGAATTACATTTCTCGAATAATCACTATTGTTTTTTATATACAATACTATTATATCTATATATTTTTACTTAAATAAATCAAATGCTTCTTTCAAACTATTGAAATAATATAATGCGATGCAACTCAGTGGTATGCGTGTTGCAACCGAATACATGATGTAAACCATTAATCTCATATTATCTCAAAACTTTGACCATACGATAATTACAAAATTATTTAATCAGAAGTAATTTTAGAAAAGAAATAAAATCAAATTATTTGTCACATAGATAGAGACGCACACGAATACCCGTCCTACATTCTTTATCCACGTTCCTGCCACGTGCCGACGTACTCGACTCGGATATTGTTTCTGAGAAGGTAAATAGCATGTCGATAAAAGAAGAAAAAAAGAAGGAAACAAAAGGACAGAATGAATAAGAAAATGAGAGCGAGAAAGAGACAAGAATCTTGGGTGTATGCCTGTGAGAGAATGTATTAAACGACAGGAGGCGAACGTGCATAAAATATTTCATCGAAATAAAATCTGCTGTAAGAGTTCATGCGATCACTACGTTTATCCAATCTCAAACGTAATATAAAAAATCAATTTAAGAAAAAAAAAAACAAACAAACAAACGACGAGCTTAATTTAGTAAATAATTCTAAAAATCCTAATCAATATATGTGTATTCATCTAAATCCAGTTAAATCATCCCCGATCCTGTTAGAAAAAAATAATATTGAAAATTCCTAAAATTCCAATGCTCACCTTTATTGTTCAACGCCAGAATTGGCCTTCTTGATGAATGCGTTGAATAACGTTGCTTGTTAAGAACGGGGATCGTCGAGAAGCTGACAGCAAGTAGCAAGAGAATTGCATGCTCCCGTAGTATATATGGCTTATGGGGTCTCAGGGTTCAAGTCTCAACTCCCCCACTACGTAACCAACTCGCAGCGAAAGTACTCACCGATAGCCATGTACTATAAGGTCCCAACTTCGAGTCTGACTATAATAATATAAGGAGTGCTGATAAAACGTAGAAGGACGTCAACAATTGGCTGATGTTCCTTTTCCAAATGTAACAGATGCAAGGACCTTTACTTATATCATACAATTTTTCATACCAATATCATGATTTTAAATCATTTCAATTAATCGTAGATTTACACAACAATTATCTTCGCGATATTTAAAATATCATTCGATTGATCATATCGTAATATATTTAGAAACGAAAGTGGGCTACTACCTTGAACGAAACTCTCATTTCTACATCACCTTACTAGGACATTTATAAACTAATAGAATCGAATACTATTCTCTAATTTATCCAGGGACACGTGTGAAAAATTATCGAACTATCACTTTCCATTTTGATCAAATTTCCCTTTCAATAATTCATACATACGATAATTGGTTACGCAATAATTAATATCATTTTGATAATTATAGTTTGAATAAACAAAATATCATATTGAAAAAGAAATTTGAAAATATTCTAGATAGTCATCAAACGCCATAATGTTTTTCACTTAACATTCCTATTACATGCCGAGTCATATAATATCCACGTTAAATATACATAGAACTAACGATTTACGTTCATAAATAATTCATCATTCGCTACCTTTGCTCCCTTTTGCCAAGTCGCCAGCTTTTCTAATAAACCATGTAAAAGATTTTTAACGTATATTGTACTTGATTTTGTTATGTTATTAAAGTCCTTGCTGAGTTGTTTCATTAAATGCTAATAATATAATAAAACATATTATTATACTAGTTGTATAAAGAAATTTCTTGAAAAATGAAATATAGCATGTGTCTATCCATCAGATCGATGGAATTTCAATTGGATTATCCTTGAATTTGATTTTTTTTTCTTCGCTATCTTTATCATACTAGTTTTCTTTTAACAGTATACGCTACATATGAATTAAGAGATAATTTTTCATTTTCTAGAAAAGTTTGCATTTCAAATAAGAAACATTTTGATAGTAAAAAATAGTAATAAAAACAACAGGAAATGCCTTCGATCCTATTCATTACTGAGATATCCTTCATGCATACAAACACGGATGAATAATAAAAACAAAAAATGGTTGCATTCTAATAGTCGAAGGTTTTGTTCATTAGCTCTACATAAACATAATTACTACGTAATATTGATTTTTAATTAAAGCTGATGCATAATCGTATTCGCATTTTGATTTACACAATTACGATTTGATCTTCATCCATGGACTACGTAAACTTCTCAAGAATCAAATATTTTTCAATCGTATTATATAAACTCGGTGGTTCGAGATAAAAATTTTGATTATAAATATTTTTTTTGTTTCGGTCATTCTTGAGATCTACAGAATTTATCTTATAAAATAAAAATCCAAATAATTTCTAGACGTTGCTCAAAATATTAATGTACAATGCTTAAAGAATTGAATATTTCTTTGAAAATATTGTCTGTTTTTATCAAATATACTGAAAATAATTGTCATATGGATTCCATTGGTATGTAACACATTCTACGTAAAACTAATATTGGAAAATTTGGTAGAAAGACGATCAGCAATAGCACCAATGGAGACAATAATAACAGCAGAGCAGCATATAACACCAACCACCAGATCGGTGATATTCCAAGAACTGGTTCTAACATGGTACTACCACCTTCTTCTTCTTCTTTTTATTCTTTTCTCCCTCCTCCTTCTTGCTATTATCGTTTGTTATCCCTATCCAATGATATTCGATAGAGGGTGTGCATGACAATCCTCTTGATTGAGGACATTGAGAACAATGATAAGTCAACTCATTGTCAAAATTTCCTGCAAAAAAAATCATAGTATATAAATGACTATCTTTTTTTATATACACATATGCATAAATATAAATTTGTGATTATATTTTTAAATTGTTACAATTTGTTCATTATATTAATTATTAAAAAATAGAATTTTTTACTTCTCAATGTAACGTTGGGGATAAATAATCGACGAATAACTAGCAGATAAAAGAATTTCATGGTCAGCTTTGGAAAAAAACTTGATGTAAAAATTTAAAAAATAAAGTAATACGTTGCCGATAATTTGTTGATAAAAAATAAATAATGACACAACGTCCTTGTGAAAAATTATAAATGTTCGCTTGCTCACTTGTGAGACCGGTTAGGTGAGGTTCTAGCTATCTTGTTAAACAAGAAAGAGAAAGATAAGAAAGAAAGGACAGACTTACGAAAACGTATATACATGTGTATAGAAGTATGCGAAGTAAGAGGTTTAAACCAAAATATCTGTTTGGATAAAAAATCACTTTGATACCGTGATATTTCGTATGTAAACACATACATAAATTTACACACACACATGACATACGATACATATACATTTAAATTATCTATAATTACACTAGCAGATATATATGGCCGCTCATTACGAACATTAAATTTGATACTATGCTATTTCAGAAAACCAAAATACATATACATACTTTTTAAATGGCACACATGTCCATAAATATTATGTAGAACTACACATATGCAAACACATGTGATCGCTCATCATGAACGTTCAACCGGACACGATTGCATCGCAGAAAGAGAAATTTTCTCGATTGCATAACCATGCTATAATAGTATTATTTAACCGAGTGCAGATCTCTTAAAAACGATGTTAGTGAACTAACGAAAGTAATTATTTTTAACAATGTACAAATAATATATAAGTATTATTTAGTTTCAAATATTTAATTAATGATAACAATAAACAACATAAGTAATTGCAAATATCTGTTAAACGATTAAAATAAAATAATGAACATGCATATTTAAACGCGTTAACATTTTAAAATTGTAAACTATCTATTAAAAAAAAACTTTCTACACAAAAAATTTGTTGAAAAAAATCTTTCGGAATAAAATTCAAATAATTTTTATAACATTCTTAAAACGAACAAAAAGAGAGTTTAGAAAACACGTCATCGACATTAATAATCTTTTAAATTATCAAAGATCTTTCAAAAATAATGTTACGATATTGTTCACATTTGAATTAATATACTTATTTTCACTCATTATCATACTCGTTTTGCAAACTATATAAAACTTGTTTTGTGAGAGAGAAAAAAAAATAAATTTCAAACATTCTCTTCGACTTACTGGAAAGAAACAAAGAATTTAAGACGTATACAGATTATCGATGCGTATAAATTAATTAAAATGCATTGACACATGCATAAGCTATCTTCTAAAAATGATCTTATGAAAATATTCACAAGCCAATGCCTTTGAAAAATAAAAATACTTTAATTTCGATTGGACGATATTAAAAAATATAATTCTAAAAATAAAAATTCTAATATGTAAATAATAAAAAAAATATTATTATTATCAATGACTCACCTTTGTATCCGCGTTAATCAGTGCGTAAAAAGTTCAAACGATACCGACCGAGTTCATGTTAGCCGATAATTCGAATATAATGTTTTGAAAAAAATTAAAAAAAAAAAAAAAAAGAAAAGAAGAAGGAAAAAGGAAAGGGATCTTATAAGAATGTCTCCGAAATGTACGTACCAAGTGAACCACCACTCGCTTTCCGCAGACTGAACACGATGATCTAGCTAACCGGTGTTCTCTCTCTCTGAACTTTCCCTTTCTTTCGAACTCCTTTACCTCTTTGCCATATTCAACGACAATCTGTTCTCCCCACTCTTTCCATTTCAAATCAACGAACTCGACAGTCACTTAATATATATGGTAAGAATGTAACGCGAGTAATGTAACTTGTGACCCGTTATTACGATCATAAAAAAAAAAGTGTCCAATACAGAAAGAAAAAGAAAGGAAAAAAATAGAAACGCGAGAATAAAAAATAATTTAGAATACATACATACTTATGAAAGTGAACGGTAAACATATATCTATATATAATTACGTGTTTTACCTGAATTACCAGTCGCAAAATGACATAAGATTATTAACCATAAAAACACCTTTTTCTTATTCTCTAACATAATGATTTCACGTTATTCTTTGCTTTTAAAAACTTTCTTATTCAATTATAAATTATAAATGCTTTTTGAATTCTCTAATCAATCGATAAAATCACATACTGTATTATCGACCAAAGAATTAATCAAATTAAATACATATTAATTTAATCAAAATAATTTTCAATTATATATTATTATTATGAATTATTTCTAACAAATATTGGTCTTTTAATTTTTTATCCATCACTGTAATACCTTATGTAATAACTGCGAATGCTTCGTAAAGGATTGTAATGTGTGTACTGTATATGTGCGTGTGTTGAGTATTACGTATGTATATATATATTGTGCATTGAAAATCGGTGATGGGAAAAGTGGGTCAACGTTGCCTTGACCTACCTTTATAATTGATGTAGAACAAATTGTTTAGAAATTAAATGTAAAGTAATACGTATTAACCAATCTAATAGATTCAGAAAGAATAGTTTCTTGTGTTCGTGAACAACAGTAATAGTATTATGAAAATGCTTCTAGTAGAAAATTGTATCGTATATATGAAATTGATTAAAATTTCTCTACTCATATACATTCGTCTCTATGCAAATATTATATATATATAATATGATTATATATAAATTTGGAAATAAATAAGAATTGAAAATGTGGAATATTATTATGAAAATATATGCGAACGTTTGATTAAATTATTCGATAGAGAAGGTTATCCAATTTATTATTAGATCTATAGAAAGTTCCACGAATATAACTGTATTTATAATAAATATTGCAAAATGATAACAGTTATTTCTACGAGATAGCGCTAGTGTCGGTTCGTGTCAAACTATCGTATTCGTCGACAGTGGTGCATACAAGAAGCATTAGTTGGTGCATGTTTTGAACAAATTTTTATCTGTAAACATTGATTAAGTAACTAACTTGTCTTCAAATAAAAATAAATGTATGATTAACATTGATTTTAAATTTAAGTCTAAAAGAAAAATGATATTTTGTTCGACAATGAAATTGTTTATAACGTTGGTAATATAACCTCAAATTTGTTGATTTCAAGAATTAAGGATAACTTGAATGAACACAAAATGTCAGATGTACGAGATATATTGGATATCGAAGTTCCAACTACTACAGAACTTACGAAAGAATCTATTTTGGGAAGTGATAAAAAGAATAAAAAGAAATATGAGTATAAGGTACCAAAACGTCCGGAGGGTATGCACAGAGAAGTCTTTGCTTTATTGTGCAAGGATAACAATGACGTCCCACCATTATTTCCAACCGATACAGCTAAAGGATATAAACAAGTTAGAGCTAAGTTGGGTATGAAAAAAGTAAGACCATGGAAGTGGACTCCGTTTACTAATCCTGCTAGAACTGACGGTGCTGTTTTCCATCATTGGAGAAGAGTCGCTGATGCAGGAAAAGAATATCCTTTCGCTAAGTTTAATAAGAAAGTTCCTATACCGACTTACACGAATACTGAATATACTAATCATTTAGTTAGTAATGGTTGGTCTCGTGCAGAGACCGATCACTTGTTTGATCTGTGCAGAAGATTTGATCTTAGATTTATTATAATTAAAGATCGATGGGATGAGAAAAAATTTTCTAAGAAAACTGTCGAAGAGCTGAAAGAAAGGTTATTATAATTTTTATCTTTCTTTTATTTACTTAGTTTTATATACAGATGTATTAGTTTTTTTTTCAATTTTAGATATTATCAAGTTAGCGCAGCTTTGATTAAAGCAAAATCTCATACGGACAAAGTTTACACTTTTGACGCAGAGCACGAGAAACGAAGAAAAGAGCAGTTAATGAAATTATTTGCTCGGACGCCAGAAGAAGTGGAAGAAGAACAGACTTTGTTGGCTGAATTGCGTAAAATAGAACAAAGAAAGAAAGAAAGGGACAGGAAAACACAAGATTTGCAAAAATTAATAACTGCGGCAGACCATCAAGCAGATCCTAGGAAGAGCGAAAGAAAACCTTCCAAGAAAAATAGTAATTCTTCTAGAAACAGACCGAATAAAATTGATACTTCTCATGTATGAATACAGCAATAAGAAAATTAATCTTTTTTTACAAAGATATATATGCTTAACTTTAGAATAATTATTTTTAGGCTGTAGAGTCTGCCGGTATCAAGTTCCCTGATTTCAAAAATAGCGGAGTTTCATTGAGATCGCAAAGAATCAAATTGCCAAGTAGTCTTGGACAAAAGAAAATGAAAGGCATTGAACAAATGTTAAATGAATTAAATATAGGTAATAAATGTGACATATAACTTTATATTATTATACTACTAATCTAATTATATATACTAAAATTAATGAATTTTACAGAACTAAATCCTCCACCTACGGAACAAATATGTCAGCACTTTAATGAATTAAGAAGTGATATAGTGCTTCATTATGAACTACGAAGTGCTTTGTCCACCTGCAATTATGAATTGCAATCATTAAGGCATCAATACGAAGCTCTTGCACCAGGAAAAGTAACGTCACCAAATGAAAAAGAAAATGATTTCTAATAAATCTTCGACATTTGAATATATTTTATTTTATGAATGTTTTTTTTTTAGACTCTGACAATACCTCCAGCTCTTTTACCAAAAACAGAACCCGAAGTAAAAGCAGACATAATAGACGTTGTTGGATCACCAAGTATGCCAAATGTAAATCATTAAGTATTAATAAACTATTCATTGTAAATATTATATAATCTAAACTAACGATTTGTATATACTTATGCGAATGAATAATCCATTAGCTTCTGAAATATTTCTTCTACGCTATATGCTTTCTACTTTCCGTGAAACAGATAAAAATGAATGAAAAATAAATTAAAAATAAATTAAAATTCTCCTAATTGTAAGAGGTATGAACAATATTTTCTTTCATTGAAAAATGACATTAATAAAATATATACCAAATTAGATTTAATATACAATCCTAACGAACGACAAAAAGGGAAAGAAGTATATGAGACACGTGGTTACTTATATATCTGTGTATTTTATATTGTCGACAAAAAGTAACAATGTACGGTGAAACCGTATAATTTATCTACAACAATCTACAATAGATTACAATATGTTGTCTTGTCGGAGGATGGTGGAGAAGGACGAATACAAGAACGGGACTTGATGGGAAGTTTTTCCTTACATAATCTGTTTTTTTTTTCTTTTTTCTCTTTTCTTATCTTATCTTCTTCGAATAAGGATAAAGGAGGGGGAAAAAGGTATCGAAGGAAAACGCGTGTATATACTGAGGTGGTTTGGTAGTGGTGGTGTTGGTGGGTGAATGGATTATTGGTTCGAGGGTAAGGAGAATATGGCAGAAAAGGGGTTTAGGGGTGAAATCAGGGTTACGGGTTGAGATGGTCGATACAGGCCTTTCTTCGTTTCGTGCTCCGTTATTCGCAATACAGTTGATTTTAATTCTATAATAAATTACTCGATAACTCTAACCGTACTTGGTACGGCATAATGCATCATATATCTCTGTATGTGTGTGTGTGGTAATGATCGATAAAGCCGACCCGCAGACTTTTCCATCGGCTGTGTGGGCCGAGAGGACTGTCACGGATATAGAAATTCGAACGTAAACGAGAGTTTTCTTTTCCTTCATCCGTTGCATTAGATACGCGATCTTAAATGCACTCAAAGACGATCTAACTAATTTTCTTAATACTCGTTTCGTTGCGCGTCAACATCAAAATGTCAAATAAAAATACAAAACTAAAAAGGAGAAAAGTTAAATAATAAAATTATATTTTCAAAAGGGAAGAAAACTTTTCGTTTATCAAATGTATTCTAATTATTTCGATTTGTATTTAAATTATAATTTGAATATTTTTAATATAACACATTAGAAATAAAAATACATATTTTGAAATGCTTATATGAAAAAGGTTAATGGATGATGGCCGCATCGTTGACCCGCATGCGATAGTCACTATCGTCAATCGGTGTAACACTACAACTAATTTTTTCTCTTTCTCCCTTTTTCTGTCTTTCTTTTTCTCTTTCTATCTTTCTCTAATCGTCAAGGGTTAGAAAACACGCACGCGATAAACAAGCTTCGATTGATTTAATCCTTGAAAAAGCTCATTTTCGCATCACGATTTCGCATTGCCACTTTTACGAAATATGTATATATATATAATAATATTATATTATATGTCAATTTTCTAATAATTCAGGAACCGAAAGTGGCATTCGAAACGAATTATTATCGGCGATCAAAAATCTGTTTATGTTTTATTCGTAATTTCATAAAATCGTTGCTTTATGTTGAGATTCGAACATTCGATAAAACTAATCTTAAACTATATGTATAATAATATAGTTTCGTTTTTTCTCGGTTCGTTTCGGGTTTTTTTTTCTTCTTTTCTTTTTCGATCATTGCCAAGAAGCAAGTTAACAGAAGTTTTCAATTAAATTATTTTCCCTTTCTCTCTCTCTCTCTCTCTCTCTCTCTCTCTCTCTCTCTTTCTCTCTTTTTCGCTCTTTCCCTTTTTCTTTCTTTCAATATTATGTTTATATAACAATTTTATATAAGAAGAAAAGAAGTAAAAAAGAAACGAAAATAAAAGAACGACGTAGTTAGAGAAAAATAATCAAATTAAGTAAGAGAGTTGTTTCGAGTGTTTTACAAGACGGCGACTAACGTAAATCAAAAACTTATAAATAAAATGTAAATGAAAAAAAAAAAAGAAAAAAGAAATCATTCGTTCCTCCGATTCTCGGGACTTCAAGCCGAGCAGGAAGGCACGTCGAAGCATATTTTCTTGGATTTTTTATATATTTTTTTTAGTTTTTATTCTTTTTCTTCATTTTTTTGTTCTTTTATCTTGTTTCCATTTCTCAATTTTCCTCGCAGTCAAGTTTCTCGATCGATCGATTCTAATAAAAAGGATCGAAAGTGAAATCGTTCGGTTCAGGATCGCGAGCACCCGTTTCCTTATATTTTTATATACTATATATATTTCCTTTTTTGTTTTCTCATTTTCACGAGCAAGCCCTTTTTTCGGAAAAGAGTTAAAAGGTTCGTTGAATTCGGGCAGTGGTCCATTCGACGAACGTACTCGAAAACGAATGAAAAGAAAAAAATAAAAGGAAAAAAGATAAGCAAAATAGGAAATATTGTACAAAAGAAAGAAAATGAAAAAAAAAAAAAAAGAAAAAATGTAAAAAAGAGTCTCTTTTTACAATCTCGAATCCTGTCCCGCAGGCATTCATTCCGTTATATAAAAACATAATTATTATCAATGGGCCCGCTATCATTACACCGTTTCTATATACACTTTTATCTCTTTCTTTCTCTCTCTCATAATCTCCTCTATAATTTTCTTTTATTATTTTTATTTTTTGAAATATATTTCCTTAAGGGAGGACTTCGCAAAGTTTACTTCCCTTTTATTATCAACGCGAGTACTTCGTGTATCTTGATAATCTTCTTTTTCTCATTTTAAAAAGAGAGAGAGAAAGAGAAAGAGATAGAAATTGAAAAAGAAAAAGAGAGTGAGAGAGAGAGAAAGAAAGAAAAAGAAGAAAAGGTCAAGTCTCCATCTCTCCATCTCTCTCTTCTTTCTATTGTTCCTCTCCTCTTTTTTCTTCTTTTTTTCTTTTTTTATTTCATTTTTTTCTTTCAAAATGAAGCACCATCGATGGAACAAACGAGGAGACTCTCAGCAACTTATGTAGATGGAAAGAAAAAAGATTTGGGGAGCCTCGAGAAGTCACGGGACTCATCTTACACATATACAAATGCATACATGCAACACACGCACACACATCACATGCTTAGATTCATACACACATAGATACACACATACATATATAAATAAATAAATAAATAAATATATATGTATATATACATATGTATATACATATATATATACATATATATTCTTTCTTTCTTTCTTTCTCTCCATTTCTTTATTTTTTTTTTTAATTTTAACCAGTGCGAAGTCCGATCGACGTTACTTTATAATAATAACAATAACAACAACAACGATAATAATTAATTAATGCCGGTAGTTTAATTACGATAGTTAATAACGGAGACGAAAGAAATCCGTGTGCTGGTATATTGTTGTAATATTAGTATCGGTAATAATAATATTTTTTTCTTTTATATTCTTTTCTCTTCCTGTTTTTTTTTTCTTTCCTTAAATAGTCACCGATCGTTTTTTTATGAATTAATCGTAAGTAAGTAACAACGGCGATGTGGACGCTGATATTTGTTAATTTCTTCGTTTTAAATGTATAATGCAATTAATGTAAATATTAGTACGATCTGATCACGCGCCGCTCATTCGAACTACAGTGCGATACTAATCTTTCATTAAAGAAGAGAGCGTCATTGTAGATCATAGTCCAAATATCACGATCAATTGTGACAATAAAGTATTATATATAGATTGTAAGAATTTATGAGAATAAGAAACAAAAAAAGTAGATACTAATCAATTCATTTGATAATTTTGTCAAAATTGTTCGAACGTCTTATTATTTTTCATTCTTTTTATATCTTTTTCTTTTATTTAAATCTTGTTTTTTTTTCCGCATATAATATGACAAGTAATAAATAGCGAGAAGAGAAGTTTGAGAAAATAGTATGTGCGATTAGAATAAAAAAATGTCTAATCCTGTATACGTTCTTGTTCAATTTTGTTTTCCATTAGCAGTCTATTCATTGTAAGCGTTTATTTTAATACACGTAGTATAACTCTTTCAAAGTAATATTAGATTGAATAGAATAATTAGAATCAATGTATTATTTCTTTCCCGATCTTTTCTTCCTGGTATTTATATCATTATCGCTGAGTTATTGTCGACGATTCTCAACAATCTTGTTCTCTCTCATTTTTTATTTTTATTTTTTTTTATTTTTTTTTTTAATCTTATTAAAGAGATATCAATTTCATTTTTTTCCTCGGATTTATTTAAATCATTAAACGTGAATAACGATTTCCATTTTATAATTGAATTTGAATGGAAAAATATTTTAACTTTTTTTTTAGTCGCATAACGAAGATAATATATATACACATATAAACAACTAATAATAATATTTATTGATAATTTTTTTTCTTCGGTTACTTTTTGTCCTGTGATTTTGACATAAATCGAAGGAACGGGTGAGATCACTCGCGAGAAGAAGAGGAACAAGACAAAGAAGAAGAAAAAGAAGAAGAAGAAGAAGAAGTAGTAGAAGTAGAATTAGAAATAGCAAAAGCGTGATACAAGAATCATTTCATTTAGGTATACTAACAGAGCGAAACTACAAGTTGCAAAGCGAGCGAATGGTAACGAGTTACGACATTTGGATTTTGTGTTTAGAGAGAGAGAGAGCGAGAGAGAGAGACTATCTTGTTCCTTTTATTATAAAAGACTCGAAGTTGTATATTATAATTTCGGTATCAATATTACTGTAACTCTCTCTCTCTCTCTCTCTCTCTTTTTTTCTCTCTTTCTCCATCTCCGTATATCGCTGTTACTTATATCATTTTCTTATAACACGTAACATGAGAAATCGTATTTATTTCGTAAAGACATTCCCTAGACAACACGGCTACAGTAATGCGATATGGATATGTGCGCAAGTGCGTGGTGAAAAATGGCGGTGGTTGGTTGGTTTGAATGGATGGATGGATGGATGGATGGATGGATTGATAAAATATGCTCATTTAAATAGGATTAAATTCAGTCGATGTGTGTTTTAGAAAGATGGTTCAGAGAAAAGTTGAGGAACGGGTGGTGGTTTTCAAGTGGTCGCACGTACGCGCACGTACGCACGTGCGCACATAGGCACACGTTTAAAGTATATGTATAGATTTCTGTATACCTTCTGTATATAATG